TCCGGATCGTCCGGGTATAGGCGTGTGGGACTTGACTAAAGGCTAGCTTTATGTAGGCTGGGAGCTCTTACTGTTGAAAACAGACACTTGGTTGATGATTTTGACTGAAAGGACAACTTGCACAGAATGTATGCTTGCATAGGATGGTTAGTTTGGATGGTTGCTTAGATGGAATACAATGTCTGTAAAAAAAACCCAGTGCAAATAGCAAGTTTTATCCTGTTTAGGACCAAAAAAAAAAAAAAAAAAGTTCTGCTTCCGATTACATGGCATTTGAAAATAGGGCATGTAGGGTAGGTACATGTATATTCTGCAGGGATGTTTTTTTGGCAATTTTTTGTGTGTATGATCATATAGAGGTGTCTCATGTAGTCAAGGGTAAGACAGTAACTGATGGTTTTTCGGGGGTTTTCCTCATTTTTCCCCCAACGAAATTAGTGTAGGGGCTGTCAAAATAGGGTAGGGTTAACCGGAAGCAGAAATATTATTTTTTTTAGGTTAAGTTAATCTTGTTAGTAGGGCAATCCATTTTAGAATAATTTAGTATTCAATTTTCCGCACTTGACTAAATATTTGAAGATTCAAAACTCGCCGATCAAGTTTTACACATGCCAGCTGCAGCTGCCTGTCTCGCTAGGAAAGAAATTGCATACAAAGCGCGCCGGTTAAAATTTGCATGCGTCAATGGATATTATGGGCCGCTGGAGTGTTTTGCAGTAGGTAATGTAACTATCCGGGGACTTTACCCAGCTAAAAGACTCTGACTATTTTGACGTCACGCCAACAACGCTTCACGTGCACGTTAAATTTACAACTCAAACTGTAGCTTCGGTACGGAAATGGGACTATTTTTCATTTTTTTTTTGCACCATCGGAATTGATTCAACCCTTGTACTTGTTAGCGAAATGAACCTGAGTGTGTCAAGAAGTACTGGGCATAGTCTTGGGGTACCAATTAATAGCGGTCGCTCCAAAACTCACTTCCGGGTTGATTGTATATTATTCGTAGAGTATACAGCATGTTCGCGTTGAATACGGCTAATACCCATACTTCTAGTTCTAGGGGTAAGTCATGCATGATATGGCCTATTTTAAATGAATGCAAAGAAACGGAAAGAAAAGAACGTTACAGAAACACAAGTGCAACACCAGGCTACCCCCCCCCCCCAACATTGCCCAATTCACTGTTTTACGAGCCAAGCACATAAAACTTAAAAGGTCATGAAGGTAGTAATTGATGGTTTTTGGTGTTTTTTTCCCTCATTTTTTCCATGAAAAAATAGGGTACAGGCTGTCAGAATAAGGTAGGTAGGAAAACCGGAAGCAGAACTTTTTTGGCCTAATGTCCCATTTTGTGGGCGTGGGCAGATCACCAACATTTGCACTGCATGCAGTGCGAGCACTCATGTGACACGACTGATCGTGCTGATTGCCATCCGCGCATAGCCTCGTCGTATTTCATGCACTTGACAAGCATACTAATACGCTTATATTTTCACAGGGAGAGAAATTATAATAGTTATGATAATTTAAAAAGGGTAATCCTTACTTTTAGGACACCTCTATTTTGTACGAGTTCTGTTCAAAACTGACTTTTGCAGATGACTGTCCAGTACCAAAGTGACTTTTGCAGGCTAAAGAAGTCTTTTTTCTTCAGACAAACTCATGTTAGTTATAATTTTGAAAGCACTTTCAAAGAAAATGTGACTTTCCTACCTTGTTTTGCAGTTCGCCATCTTGCTTTTTAAATTTATTTTCTGTTTGTCATCGTCGTCTTTAACCCCTCATAAATCAAAACCCTGCCCTCTTTCTACAAAATCAAACCTGCTGATATTCAAGAGGTGTCATTGCCAAATGTTCAAATGTGTCAATAAATATCAGAATGTCACTTTTGAGTGTCATAGTCAGCTGTTTTGGTGAGTCTTTTAACCTTATATAGGAAAGGGGTCCTAAAAGTAAGGATTACCTTAAAAAGGTTCCTACCTTATTGTCTGGCCGGCGTTCTGGTGAGTTTACCGAAGACATGTCTTCGCTGGATGAGCGATCAACTTCATCAACCTCAGTCATGTAGAACTTAGATTAGAAGCATGGTAAGGTACCCTCAACTTTGAGCTGTCATTAATAGGCTGCCCTAATACTGCCTCGTGTGCGTATGGTGGTCAGGTACCAAACATGCACATTACCCGAATACCCGGATGTACCGCATAGAGCTGAGTAGAGCTGCCCCAGAAGTACCACAGGCTCCTACAATGTATGGCGAAAATTTGATTTGTTGGCTTTGAAAATACGCTGTTTTACAACTTTATTTCTTGGTTGGGAACTTACTCTTTTACCTGGTCACAAAGAACACGGAAAGGAAGTTGGGTAGCTCATGATTTCCTTGAGAAAAAAAGAGAATTTACAGAGAATTTTTTAAGTGTCTTGAAAGGCTTTGAAAAAGTAGACAGCAGCAGATTCTTCCAACCAGTAAAAGAGGTCACTCTCTAAGAAATTTAAGCATTGGTTGTACTATACGAAGAACTGCTTCACCCAAAGAGTATAAACATATGGAATTCCTGTCCGTAAGCAAACGCCAAAACTGTAGCAACATTTAAGAAAGGGCTGGGATTCTCACTGGAAGGAGTAAACGATAGGATGGGCCGATAGAGCCAAGCCCGCGGGAACTAGACTATACATGCTATATAATTATGTGAATATTTTTATGAACAGAAATTCATCCGCTTTACCAATCGCAAGAAGTATTCGTGCCACAAAACTGGCAAGAAGAGACATTCTGCACTCGGAACTGTTACTTTTGCAAAGCCACGATTTCTGATATTAGTGATCATGGAACTACCTCCAACTTCATCTGCAGCGTGTACACAAATCCTGGTATAAGCTTGAGGAACTTCGTAAAATGATGATGGGACACTCCAGTTGCGGGGGGACCTTTTTTTCCCTCCCAAAATTTTGAACCATTTGTGTTGGTCGTTTATACAATTCTGTGAAATATTTCACTTGTATACCCAATCAAGTGCACCAGTCATTCTTTTGGAGCGCATTTCCAGTCATGGGGGTATAATAATGCGTCCCCATCGTGCCAGCTTATCTTCCCGCATATTGGAAATGCTTATGTTTCTAAGATGCAATGAGCATAGATTTAAATCGTAATTAACAATTTTAAATCGTAACACAATTTTCATACTTGTGACCTGGCACGGCATTCTGAGTACAAGCAGCGACAATTTTCCAGCAACATTGTTTGTTTTTTTAAAGAGGATCGGAATTTGGGATTTTTAACACTTGAAAGGCCCTTTAAATCCTGAAGTTCACTTAAAAAAAATATTGAGGGCGAAACCTTTTATGAATTTGGTAAAAGTGTATACTACACATTACATTTGACCTTTGCTTTGTATTAAAAGGGGTCAATAAACTTTGTCCTGGTTCTCAACCACGATGATGTGTATTTGAGATTCACAAAAGGACTCGGACTCGGACTCGGAGACAAGGACTCGGACTCGGATACCAAGGACTCGGACTCGGACTCGGATACCAAGGACTCGGATCAGTCGGACTCGGACTCGGAGACAAGGACGGACTCGGATACCAAGGACTCGGACTCGGATACCAAGGAAGGACTCGGACTCGGATACCTCGGACTCGGACTCGGATACCTCGGACTCGGACTCGGACTCGGACTCGGACTCGGACTCGGACTCGGACTCGGACTCGGACTCGGACTCGGACTCGGACTCGGATGGGGTGGACTCGACTACAGCACTGCATAATATACAATATTATAAATCATAAAGTTGAACAAAGAAATTGATTGGAGCGGGATTGAACCTTCGACATCCGGATTTCCGTACCATATCTTTGGTCAGGTCGGGCTTAGTATACTCAACCAAAACAGATAGGTCCCCCCCTCTTACATACATTTTTGTCTAACTATACTGAGCACCTCTCGCTCAAATAACGACTAATCAGTACAGACATTCCTTAGCAATCCAGCCATACTCTTTATTTGGCCCAAAACAGTGATAATGTGTACGAATTTGTGCAATTTATGATAAATGGTATGGAAAACAGTTGCACTTCAAGTTGCACACGTGCACGTTGTGGTAATTCACACTCACCTTGCACGTATACAAAATGCAACTTTTGTCATAAATTGCATAGTAATTTTGTACACATTATCACTGTTTTGCGGGGCCAAACAAAGAGTATGGCTGGAATGATATTTACTTAGAAATAACTGTAGTTTTTGTACTGATCAGTCGTAATTTGACCAAGATGTGCCCAGTCAAGCCCGCGGGAACGGGGGTGCTGTGGGTGCTGCAGCACCCCCAACTTGGCCCTGTGGCCCCACGCCGTAAAGCTCAGAAAATAAACAAAACATACACGAAGGTATTTATTAAATGTAAGAAAGCAGCCTTGTAACAATAATATTTACATGCGATAGCATGCATAATGATACAATTCTTTTTCCAGAATTAAATGGTACCAAATATGGAGATAAAAATACAGGGTTCTCCACTTTTCAGTACAGTTAAACGTTTTAAGAGCACAGTATATTAACAAAATAATGAAATATATTGTCTTTATAATCTCAAAAAGCTTTTGCCAAAAAAAGTCAAATGAAAGTGGCCAGGAAGCGCTTCCAGTCAGATTGCACCACAGAGCATCCATATTCCAAATTAAGCCACGCCGTATTGGGCTTTGCGCTCCGCTTTTGCATTAAGTTTTGTCCGTCCTTTAGAAATTCCAGCACCCCGGGCAAAAGTTGGTTCAAGCGGCAGTGCATAGAGCTACATGCATATTAAAATCTATGGATGGGTCACAAAGGTCATGCCTGATTAATTTATTCATATAAATCGTAAAGGGTGTAGTAGTGGTAAGTGATTAATGGGGATCCGGGAGGTGGCTGGGGTGCAAGTGGAGCCTGTAGATTTTCTTTGGGGGAGGGGGGGGGGGGGCGGATAAGGCATTGCATTGAAGAAAATCAAACAACGAAAGTACAATTTGATTGGTTCTTGGTAATTACATTACGTTTTATTGATTTTTTCACTGCACACAAATGTCATGAAAAAATCACTATATCACAATCTTCACAAGATTACTCATCAATCAAATCTAGATATATTTTCAACTGGTTTACTAATTGTTTTGGCAGAGATCAATCAAAATTGTCAAATGTCATATCAGACACTGAAATTACTATCTTCTAAAATAAGTCAAAAGGAGAGTACCAAGCCAATATTTAGGCATGCCTTTATTGCTTTCTAGAGCTAACTAGTAACTTTTCATCATATTATCATTAAAACACGATAAACCCATTTACTACACTTTCAATTTTAACAGCCTCAATTGTGATTGTTTTTCTTTACACAACATACATAGCAGGATTCGAAAGTAAAGTGTTCAAATACATTATGTGGAACAAGGCTGTATGAACGAAGAACTACAGGGCTGTTTTGTAATTTTCCAATTGGTTCAAGAGTCGACGACAAAATTACCCCAATCACCGAATCAACAAACCTTGCCTGAATAATGGATTTTCCTCATTTTTGTGTTTGACTTTTCCATGATTAAAATGTTTCAGAAATATTGCAAATGGACAGGGCAATTATTCATATAATTTGAAATTTCATTTCCTTCTTGACAAAAACAAGAATTAGGAAAAACACTTCCACTTCTTGATAGGGAGTCCAAAATTCAAGTGGGTATCGTTCCCGGCAGAGGGGGTACTGTCAAGGTTTAGATGCACACTGTCATTCATGACGTTCTCTAAGAAGGAAAGTTTTTTTCCCCTGAAATGCCACAAGATCGGCAAGACTTGAACAACTGTTAGAAAACTCCTTTACAGAACACAGGTGGATAGTCTAAATATGAGGATGGTCGTAAATTGCTTATAATTTATGCCATTATTCTATTCTGTAATCTTAGTACTTTTGAATTCTTAGTATGCCAAAACCCAAAGCTGTATACAAACCCTTTGTCCTATTGAGAGGACCTTTAAAATCTTTTTAACATCAGTGAAAATAGGGATAAATTGTATTTTGGCCAGTTTTAAACAAGTACGTTTAAAACCCGCTACGGGCCTTGATGCAGATAATGACCCGAGCCGAAGACGAGGGTCAAAAAGTAAAAAGTCACTAATTTTCAATGAGTTGGTTCAACAATTTTACTTCTTGTTTTGTGAAACACCCTCTGGCCATGACTATGGTATGTGCCTCACCTTGGAAGACACACGGCGCATACTACGCAGCAGTGTTTCACCAGCTGTTAAAAACCAACCACGTGACGGCCTCTCAACCAATAGGAATGGGTAAACTGTCTCGGGTATTTATGAATGATCGTTAAATTGGGGAATTTTGCAATCATCAAAACATCTGCAGCGGGATTTGACCAGGCAGAATATTTTTTGTTCTATAGAAATTTCACCAATGACACAGTTTTGACAAAAGGAGTTTTGACAAAATAAGAAAAACATGCACACCCAAATACTGGTACCAGCAGAAAGACGCCCTGCCCTCCGTCAAGTATTTTTTTTACGGATCCTCAAGAAAGGCCAGGTAGAGGAAAGAAAATAATATTAAGCATTTGCAGCCAACACAAATATAGTATGGAGAGCCTTATGCAAAACTGCAAAGCAATAATAGGCTCTTGATCATACCCTCACCTTTTGTGAAACTAAGTTTAATCCCGCCTCTTCAGCAAAACTGCCTGAATCAAACCGTACCAGGCATAATACTCAATCAACAAGCTACGGAACAAGATTTTGCTTTTTCACTGGTACCGGGATGTACTCAAAAATATGATGGGTCTATTACTTTTGAATATTTTTGTCTGTGCATGTGCTCCTTTTCCTCGAATGCTTCAGGAATGAAATTTATGATCTTATGGAAGAAATTACAAAAAACATAAATACTGATGAAGCTAATTTCACAGGAAGTATGCATAAATACATAATTGATCACAGCAAATTCAACTTAATCTTGTTTTTACTACAACAGGGCAGCAGACTTCCAACCAATTTCACTGACACACTGAGTATAGAGACATTTTAGACAGGACATTTGTGTACATAGCAATGTTGAGAAGTTTGAAGTGGCCAAGTTTCAAAGCACAGCAAAAACATTGGTGAAGTACTTGCGTAGGAATACAAGTATCTGAAAATTGCTGGCTACCAGCAAAAATATTATGAAGGCTTTGTTCTTCTTGGTTATGCCTTTCTTTCACGATGCGGGCCCAATTTCGTAGTGCTGCACTGTGAACCATTTTTTGGACTTAAACAAACCTAGCAAATTGTTCAATTAATAGTAACTGTTAAAGCGATCATTTTTGCTCAAGCATTGCCACACTCTTAATTCAGTCAAAATGGGAGCAATCTTTAGCAGGAGACTTTCCTTTTCATCACTTTCAATGAACAGTTTTTGCATAAGCGGATGAGATTTAAAGATGTTGGTACAGCAATGTCTGTGCTTAGTGAGATACATGCTCACTTCGGTAATTTGCTTGTGCCATTATAGGAAAAAAAATTTGTTAACAATTATGCGGCACTGTGAAATTGGGCCCATACTTATTCAGTGTGCCAGTAAAAGTGGCTTGGTGGAGTACACACGTTCAACAACTGGCTAGGAAGTTACACGCACAGTAACTAAATTGTGATTACAATATGGGTCAAGCTGAGAGATGTGTACAGTAGGAGGAAAGGGGGGGGGGGGGGCGGGGGGGGGAGGATAAATGGTCCTGGTTGTGTTTGGGGGTTTCCTTTACAGTTGGGATTGAGCCAGTCACTGGGAGAGGAAGGACAAGGCAGTCTCCTTCTCCTGCTGCAGTTCCTTGGCCGTGAGGTCCATTTTCTCGCGGGCAAAGTCACTGATGGACAATCCCTGGACGATGGACCACTCTTTGTCGGTGATCTTGACCGGGAAGCTGTAGACGAGGCCCTCGGGCACGCCATAAGAGCCGTCGCTGATCACACCCATGGAAACCCACTCATCCTATATTAAAATAATAATACACAAATATAATTTAGACGTTATAGGCTACAACACTCACTTCTAAAAGCCAAATTATAATAAACTGTTGCTATTCACTGAAGCTTCAGGTATTTTTTCAACATTAACACTTTAAACATGTTGTTTTGCAATAACGAATCCTCAGATCTGCATGCATATCATAGAGGTATGTTTGCAAGCGGATATTCCATACACTAGTTTTAACCAATCATTGCTCTGACTGCACTACCAAATGTCCAACAAAAAAGCAAAATGAGTGCCCATAACATATGGCGTACGAGTCCATAACATGAAGTGTGGTATTGGCGAGGTGATGTGGCGTTGGAAAGTGGACGGAGCTTAATAGACTAGACAATAGCAAACCAGAATGTTTGAATGCCCTACTCAAGCACAAGAAAAATCTTAGGCTAGTGTTAGTATCTAGATTTTGGTAAATCTGGACGTGTGTACGAAATGTGTATGGTTGTTGACTTACCGGCTTGGTGCCAAACCACCAGTCGCGCATGTGGTCTCCAACAGCCTTAGCTGCAGACATAGCACTGGACAGCTTCCTTGCCTTAATCACGGCAGCACCACGCTTCTGAATGGTCTGTAACACAAAAGGTGAAATAAATGTAACAGCAAAAGTTGCATATGGGTAAACAAATAATTTTGTTTAACTGCAGTTGGCTTTCCAAAAATAGGAACTAGGACCAATGTCGCATAGCAAATGTATGTATGCTTATGCTGTATGCTTAACAAAAACCAGCAAACAGAACCAGTCACAAGTAATATAAATCACATGTCATATTGACACGTTGACAACAGCTGTCATCAACAACAGTTGCCATAACTCATGTCCATGAAAGATTCTGTTAGATTTAGGTATGTTGTGACCTAAGATACTTATTATATAACATTGATAACAATCGTTATGGCGTACAGAGCTAACATGAATATGAAACCTTACAGTTGAGAAAACTATACAATATGTAAAAGCTTACAGTGATGAAATCTCCCTTGAGCCAGGCATCGTCCTTGACAGCCTCATAGACCGGTGTCTTCTTACCACTGTTGTCCAGGACCGAGGCGTGGCTGACGTCGGGGAACTGAGTGGCAGAGTGGTTGCCCCAGATGATCACGTTGCGGACTTTGTCACAGGACACGCCCACCCTGTTGGCAATCTGCGGGGGGAAATGCAATCGTGGGATAACAAGTTGCAAAGTGTTAATGTGACGTGAATTTTTAGGGAGTCAGGTTGGCGTAGCGGTACTTTCCTCGCCTTCCACCGCTGTGACCCGGATTCGAATCCCACCTGGGCCAACATGTGGATTGCATTTTCAGTCCCTACCTGGTTCCGTTGGATTTCCCCAGAATATTCTTCTGGGGTTTTCCTCCGACCTCTAAAACTGTAATTTCTTCTCATTGTCTCCTCTCTACAGGTTTCTTCAGGCTTGCGAGCTACAATCCTTGTTTTCATTCCCAGAAATAAATAATAATAATAATAATTACAAGAAACCAATTAACGCTTTAAATCAATTGTAGGGATTAAGAGACATTGGAAGGCTACAATAATAGCTATGTTAGCTACATGGATTTGACTGAAGTTGTCAATGGATCGTTTGTGATGTGTACTTTTGCACAACAGGGATATAAATAGACCTCTTCTGCATTCATTGTTTAACATAACAAAACACACCTCAAAGATGGCTGCTGAATGCAATCAATCTATAAGTGTGTTGGGTCAACGTGTATTGCTAGAATATGATGATTGCTAGAATATGATAACTGCTTTCAAATCCATTTACTCTTGGAACAAAACCACTCGTCGGATATTCGATAATGTGTTAGATCTTCTCTCAAAAAAATTCAACATGGCCAACATTTATTGCTGACTTGTCCAAAAAATGAGCTCGTATCAGACAGTTGAAATTACAACTTGTTTTCACAATAAATTCCACTTCAATTATTTTTAAATTTAGGAACTTTCCTTTGTCAACCGACGATTTTTTCAATTTACTGCGTGAGCAATTTCACGACAGGGATCACTAAGTACAGTAGCCAGGCATGGAGATGTACTGACCTGAAATTGGGCCCTGTTTTGGTCCAGACGGGTCATGCAGGAGAAATTGGCCGCTGGGATTGATGGCGCACAGGACTTGGTGATCAAGCAGTTGGTGTTAGCTGGGTTGCCAACTACGAGAATCTGGAAGGAAAACAGGAAACACCAAAATAAATGGTTGAGCTATGAGGCTGGTCTGGCACTAGTCTCTGTCCAAGACTGGATGTACATTCTGTTCCCCTTATACAGACGGTCCCAATCCCTGGTAAGCACGGTCAAGCCCCTGGTAGCGGGCACTACATGAATTAAATCCACAGAAGAGTGACGTCACGCAGGGTCGTCCTCGACAGCAATGTTGCCAAACATTTTCCCGTCCCAATTGCCATACAAATTGTATAGCTTAATTGTGAATCCCCTCTTTGTTTGAAATTTCATCGAAAATAAAAAAATTTGCACACTACTAATTCTACCTAGTGCTGCAGCCGAATAGCCAAACTGAAGTACAATTGACTGAACTTGCCATTTCTGAACCACACCTAATCATACCGAACTAAGATGTTCAGTTAGGCTTGTAATTTACAATATGCATTTTAGCATCACATATTTTTGTTTGTTTAAACTGAACTCTGCTAGGATGCAACCGCAATCCTCCAAAATCCTCCAATTGACTTCATTTAAAAATTGCATACTGCCTCAATCCTTCAAAAATCCTCTTTTCTTGAATGTGGTCCTTGGAGGGGTGACCACTGCCTGTATCCTGCAAAATTCTCCAGCAATCACGGTCAATATGTTGAGGCAGAGCCAGTGACATCCTGGAGCAGTGCGGAGGATTTCAAATGTAATCTAGGCCTAAATTCATGCACGGCTGAGCATACACAACACAAGGTCCGGCCCAAGACCTTGACACAGTTCATCCTCCAAAATCAGCCACACATTTGTGCCATATAGCCTCAATCATACAAAATCCTCCATTTTGCAAAGAGAATTTTGGAGGATTTGGGAAGTTTAGGGTTAACTGATATTGTCAAAACCTGTTCCATAAAACTTTCAAAAGGTTCCTTCTAATTAAAACACGAAATATTTCATGCTTACAATACTGTCTCAAATGAAGGAACATTCAAGTCATGTATATGCATTTTGACTGAGAGACACAAAGTAATAAAAAACCGTTAGATAGTCTACCTTCACTGTCTTCTTGGCAATCTGGTCGATGACCTTGCCCTGGCCCTCGAAGATCTTGGCGTTAGCCTTGAGAAGGTCCTTGCGTTCCATCCCTTCCTTGCGCGGCATGGCACCCACCAAAATAGCAGCGTCTACATCCTTAAATGCCACGTTATAATCAGCAGTGGCCACCACATCTGCAAGGGGGGGGGGGGGGAGAGTGAAATATATGACATACATTAAAGAGAATATACATGATTGGCTTTTGCTGTAATTTTCAGAAATGAACTATTTGAGGGGTTAGTATAATAGATCAAATATTGTTAGACTGACATGTTTGAAGGTTTGTGTTCGAAAATGCTGGAAAAACCAAGAAACACAAAAATGTTCAAGTAGTCTGGTCCCCTGACTCCACTAAACATAAAATGGGTCAATTTACAGATGCCGGAAACTTGTAAGGTAATGGAACCAGTCTAGCCGGCCTGCACCCGTTCATGAACATGTAACCAATAGCAAACAAAATTTGGACTGAAAGAAAAATGGTTAATTTGGAGCAGTAGTTGAAAAATAGTTAGGTTTTTCCAACGGTGGTCGGCCGACCACCGTTGGAAATTTTTACAAAAATACCATTTTCTTGAAAATGACTTCACACCAGGTGCCATAATTTTACAAGATGCTGTAGACTGTCATTTACCAACATCCTAGTAAGGTATTTCGTAAAAACTAGGTAGTTTTATTTTTCGATGTTTGCAAATGTTGTATATTCCCTTTAAAAATAACCTTGCAATGTATCTTCATTTTGTTTTATTTTTCAAGTGGAAGTGTAAAATTTCACCACAATATCAGAACTAAAGATCATGGTACTCCTCGCCTTAAAATCAGGAATCTTTCACTGTATAACCTACAAAGAAGGCACGTTGTTTCTAAATCATAAATGCATGCAGTAAAAGGAAACATTAATGACATACTCTTCAGAAGCGGCAGGGAACAGTCACTGAGTTCCATGACCACACCTTCCACGATAGTCATCATCGGTGGGATGTCCAGTAGCAAAAGCTCCAGCGGCTGGAAAAAAAGTAATAATAATAAATTAAGAATGTTACTTTAAGGATGAGCTAGATACTCAGGTACCTTAATTATTTTTTCTCTATTTCCGTCCTCCTCCTATTGCAATGATACTGTATGCAGCAAGCACAGCACAAGGCACTGGAGGACATTATCAACTAGTCTTGGGAACTTTGGCACTACGACCTGAGAAATTTCAAGCACACTTTATAGGCATGCATAAGCCTTGGATTTTTCCAGTCCGAGAAAGACTGGATTTGATTTATCATGTAGACGGTGCCTTCTACTGCTTGTTACCAGGGGTCAGGACCAATTGTATATTACGAAACAAAATCTAAATCCAGTTTTGCACTGCCAGAGGCTAATTTGAATGAAACTAGTGATGTAAAGACAGCAATCTCTTGTGTTAAAAATTTGGTACATCAACATCATGACATTTGCTGAGGGTTAGCACAATTTTGTTATTCAGTAATTGGCACGGCTTTTTTGCTATCCATTAAAAGTGAGATGGATGTATCCATGCATGGGTGCATTCCATGTTCTTTGATACTTCCCAAATCACAAGTGCTTCATACTCTTTCGCCCAAAAATCTTGTTAAATTTTTTAAATTTTTTATTTGACCAGTTTAAAAGTTGACCCTATATCCCTATGTACCTGGTCAGCTCCAAACACATCCCCCTTGGCAATGGAGTACAGGAGGGAGTAGGCAATCTGCCCTGCAGCACCGGTGACACAAACACGGAGAGCCTACGGAAAAGAGAGAGACAGAGACAAAAACAAAATAGAAGGGGAAAACTATGTTCACTCTGCTCACCCTACCTACAGCAACCCAACTCCATGAAAATGTACACCCGGGTTTTTACATCGTTTTGATGGATTTAGCCCAGAAGTACAGCCAAGCTTTATTTTGTCCATGGAGCCACAAAGTTGGATTATGGAAGATCCAGGGAACTTCTCAGCTTAAAATGCCCACAGAATTGTTTAAGCTGAGCAGAAGAGCAAGTGGCACACTATCATTAAGAAATACATATTATCTACAGCGTGTCCCAATAAACATTGTGCATGAAGAAATCGCTGATTTTCTCAAAAGTTGGTCAGACTACATGTAGCTACATTGTAATCATAATTTAGCACATTCAAGCCTATGGTCTTGTTTATAATTGGTGCAAAAATCTAGAAAATCCAATGATGCAAACCAGAGATATCTTTGATTTGACAAGGCTATGTTTTTTTCAACCTGAACAATGTAATTTCCACACTTAGTATTTGCTTGTAATAATTGGGTTATTGGTATGTGTTACGCAGTGCTTGAAATTAGGCATGGCCTTTATGTTGCATTTGGATAAGAGAGTTCACAGAAAACATTTTGGGTACATAACATTATATAATCAAATCAAATACCCATTGGATTGCCTAATATCAGGTGTTTAGTCTTTGACACAGATTTTGAAAGGACAATGAACATGCAAAGTTCTTTGACAGCTGAAATGTATTGGCCTACATGTAAGTTTAACTACAGGATTCTAATTGTGCAGAAAGAAAATAATATAGCCTTACAAAATCAACGATATATCTCTGGTTTGCATTGATGGATTTGCTTGATATTTTCACCAATTATAAACCAGACCATAGGCTTTAACATAATATAAAATTTGATTAGCTACTATGACCACCTTTTGAGCAAATCAGCGACTTCTTCATGCCCTCTTTTGACCGCCTCTGAAGTCACAGTTTTGCCTTTTTGGGAAATTTCTTTCTTTGACACTTGAATAGTTAAATATTACAACATTATCTCTGTGAAAACACTCCAAACCATATCGCTATTGTGCAAAACATAATGTTGATGATACATTTAAATATTTAACAGTTTTCTTCATTTTCATGTTTTTAATCAAATAGTTCTATTTTAGTTTTTAATTAAAAAGTAAATTTCATTTTCTTCTTTGTAACCTTGGCTTTGCAGAATTTTTTAAAAAACTGTTTAAGGGAAATAAAGTTCGAGCATCATTCGGTTAAATGATTGGTTTCAACAACCAAAGATCCCGACGTTGAATATTATGTAATATTATTATATTATGTAACGATAGCAGTTGGAAAATGGCATTACGGCTGCCGTAATGGTAGCCACTGCGTTCTTTTTTTGTTTTTCTATTTTTCAACATGTTCAAGAGTGGAAAAGTGACAGGAAAGAAAGTAGGGGCCTAGTGTTGGATGCAATCGCTGGATGCAATCGCTCGATGTGCACGATCAGTTGATCGTGCTGCACTATCGGTCGACCATAACGCTATCGGCCGATCGCGCTGCCACCAGTCAAACACATTTTCTTTCTATTCTAATTCACAGCTCTTGAGAATTTTTTAAAAAGTTAAGTAAACTCCGAGATATCCGTCATAATCGACCGATCGTGCAGATCGACCGAACACCCCTAACAAACATCCAGACGCCACTTCGTTGGTCATGTAATCTATGGAGAGTCAAGAAGAATTTCGAAGTAGGCTTCTAAAATTGTTCTAACAAAATTAGAAATGTTTCTGAGTCCCCATGGTCCCAGGCCAGATTCCTGTCTTTGCAACATTTTTGCAATGACTGATGACCAGACCTCCACTGAGATGATAAATGATGAAAATACAAATGGCGTCAGGATGCAACGTTCTTTCAAAAATGGTGTAGGCCTAGGCCTACTCATAAAAAAGTCCAGTCCGGAAATTGGCACTGCTGAGTACGTGTGCGTACGTGCGGCCAGACAGGACGCCGGCCGGCAAAACATAAATAATGGGGCTACACTCCCAACCCATTCATCTACATTAAAACTACAAGCAGAAATATCTCTGATATGTTGACTTCAGTTTGTCATCAACAATTCTAAGGAATAATACCAAAACTTACCATTTTGTTCAATTTCTTCAGCCGTTGGATCAGATTGCCGTGGGGTTTTCAACCAGGAGACGTGACCTGCGAAGGGTGCTGGGTGAACGATCGCGAACGCGTGATGACCTTGTGTCGGTACCTCGACGTTTCATTATATTAACGTATATAATTATTTGCGGGTACCCGCTTACGTTTTTGCCTGGGCATTCGTGTAGCACGTGCAAAATTACAAAGCATGTAGATGCCGCGCGAATGTGCACATGTACTGTACGGCCGGCCTATGAATGAATGATAATTGATATGTAGAAATTATACCAGCTCCCAGTTCGTACATAGTTAATGTTCCTGTGAACTTAATTTAATTTGTTAGTTCCTTTGGATTCTTTGCTTACATTCGCTTCTCATCAGGAACTTAAAGTATGGCATTAAATGAAGAAGATAAAAAGGTAGGCAATATCATAATGGGCTTACACGCGGAGCATTCATAGTTCTCGGAGTAGGGCTTAGGTCCAGAAATCCAATGGCCCAACCTTTTCTCTCTTGACCTGAACACAAAGTTATGTAGAACTAGAACTACACTGGTGAAGGTATATGCCTATGGTACATGCATTGTGGGATAGTTGCAAAATCCCTGTTTGTAGCGCTAGTGCAATCTTTCGAGCTGTCTGTCCCTGGATGCAATGTGCAGAGAATACCTACTTGCTATGCTATAGTATTATGCCCAAGTGCGGCATTGGTCTATTACTGTACCTGGGCCGGTTCCAACAATGACGGAGTACATTGTAGTTGGGAAATCCCAACTATCCGGTTCGTTAGTGTGACGTCATCTCAACTTAGATGGACCTGGCCCAACTATAGTTTAATATACCGTGACTGTAGTTTGGGCGTAACACCTTCACCATGTTCACTGCACACTGCACAAACTGAGTACCGGTATAAATTCAGAAAGGTTGATGCTAATTAGCAGTGATCCGTGGCTGGGGGTGTCGTTATCTGGGGGAGGGGGTTGACTTGGTATTAAACCATTGCCCCCCCCCCTTCCTATGCAAACATACATTCTGTGCCAAGTAGGCCTAGTGATCCTTTCAGTCAATATCAATCAAGCGACTGTTTTCAACAGTTAAGAATTCCCAGCCTATTAAAGATATAGTCCATCATTTGTAATTTGTGCATTTTGTTCGTTTGAAGCAACAAAAGTGTTCAAAATCTAATGCAGGATACTAAACAACTAACCTGATGAAGTTTCATCTCAGCTTCAGCTGTTCACTTCCGAGAAAAACAGCATTCTTAGAGATCTCAATTTCAAATCAAAAGTTGCTGAATCATGTTTTGAATTGTTTTGAATTGCAGCTATACGCGATGTCACGCACTGATCCGACGAATTATAGCAAGCGCGCGCGCCTGTTTCAACCAAGTATGTTTTTCAACAATAATACGCCAGTTACTTTTTCGGATGGCTGCAAATGATGCACTGTAGCTTTAAAGCAGGATTGACTGTCTTGATCTGTTTGTAACTTGATACAGCTATGCTTTGACTCCAGGTGATTGATCAGCCAGCTGAGCTGTGACCTCAACTTGCCTGCTTTGTCCCTTCATTGGTCTGTTGACTGAGTTTGACTAGTCACAGTGCTTGCTTGACATATGATCTGAGTGACTAGCCTAGATGTTAAAAGTATAGCAGGGGAAGTGGATGGAAATTTTGACTGTATATGATTGTTTTAAATATCAGGAGGTTTTCAAGCATAACAATTATATATGTATCTGTATTGTGTTCTTCTGGTGTCCCCCCCCCAAAAAAAAATGCCTGGAGCCGGCAACAGCTAGGGCTGATCCCAACATCGTTGCAAGGGACACTAAATTGGAATAGGCCTACATTGTAAGTAGATTTCTGAGCAGAAGACTCAAGGGCTACTTATTTTTAGTCAAAGGTTAATGTATTTTTTATGAATTTGTAATATCTTTTTACTTTCATTTCCCCATTTGTAAAGCTGATTTTCCTTTTCTCTCATTGTCTCCAGTCGGTGTTTTCAAGGATCTCCAGTCAATTTCAAACAGTACCCTGTTCAAGGACTGCCTTCATGTACGGACTGCTGGGGGGATTTGGAGCTGGACTAACAAGTTTCCTCATGACCAGTAAGGGCTGACAGGAAAAGAGCACGCAATTCTCGCCAGCTAGCATTAAATTTTTCATGTGAACATCTTGGTACCAAATACAACGACAAGTGACTCCCGTGTTAGAATTTACCCATTTATGTGCGCCGTGATCGTTTATTAATGGAAGTTGAAGTAAATTTTTAAAAATTGATTCAAGTCATCAACATGCAATACTTCATTTCAATTATGTTGTAAATTGTAATGGTTTCTCTCCTTTCACCATGTTCACCGAGACCGTCTGTTGTCGATGACCGGTTAAGCCTATACTCGGGACACAAAATAAATTATGCACAAAAATAAAGGAAGTTGCACGCATTGTAGATTACATGGTGCCGGAGGTACCGTGTTCCCATAAAATCTTTCAGGTTTTTGAGGTCAACTTGCACACTGTATTAGAAAAACAACACATTGTTTGTTTGTACCCACCGCCGTACCCAAGGGTGTGTTATATGTCACATGTCTTTGTTGGTAGCTCTAGCTCATTGCTTGCCATGATCAATGAACAAATGTAGGAACATTTTGTGGACTTGTTGGCACACTTTAGTCTTGACCCAGGTCAAAATCTGTCCAATGAGAGCTCGAAGAAATTTGAGGTCATCAGCCCATAGGGTAGTGGGTTGAGTAAAGTCACTTTTCTGCATCTTTGTCTATGCCAGTGTTCATAACGGAACCATTATGTTAATTTTTGGCAGGAATATGTAAGCTCCATTGATATCAGAATTCTTCGATTTAGCAGTATATAAACAAAATGCACAGTTGGAGATAATTACCTTGCTCGAGAACACAAGCACATATTGAGTTTAGTTCAACATACTGCCAAACTGTCACTGAACATCATGTACATGAAGATTGTAAAACAAGACTATGCCTGCCTAGTCTGGCTGGACCCAATAGCCACAGTTTTGGACATTTTTTAATACTCGTGTCAGTCACTCATTCAGTTTGAGAAGAGGGCTGGCCCTTCAGGTTCAGCAAAAATGTTTGTACATGTATTTTTAATAGTACATTTGCTTCTTTTATTCACCAGGTCGCGTAAAAAGATCCTCAGACATTGGCGTGGGCGTTTTCACAATGACAACGTTGCTTACCTTGTAAGTTGAATTGAGTCAGGGTTTCTCAAGCTGACACTGTTTAAAAGTCAGGTCGAGTGAAAGCATGTGTGAAAGCAATTCTGTCCTCCCATCTCAAAATCCAATCAGTTTGGTGAACCATCTGGGCCCAATTTCACGGCACTGCTTAGCACAAAAATTTGCTTAGCACAAAAAAAGTTTGGCTTATAAAAGCAGGTTATCAGCCAAAACTCCATGTGATTTTCATGCTAAGCAAACAACAGCTGAATACCAATCACAGGCAATACACATCACGTGGAGTTTTGGCTGGTAACCTGCTGTTATAAGCCAGACTTTTTATGTGCTAAGCACATTTTTGTGCTTAGCAGCGCCGTGAAATTGGCCCCTGTCCTCTTCCTTGGTCTAGCTGCATGCTGGCAAAGTTCACAAGTTTGATTTGATTCATGTTGTCAATAGTTACCTCTATCGCTATTTTTTAAAAAAATTCTTGTAGTGGTGTTTTTGAACTAAAAGTTGAGTACATATTAAAGTTCTTAATTTTTCCCTACTTGTTGCAGTGGATACTGTCGATACACTAGAGCCAAGCTACGCATGGTGCAGAGAAGATATGAAGAATTGCAAGGAATTGAACCCACAGAAGTTTCATATGGACCAGCCGGAGGACTCAAGTGAACAGTGCCAAGCATTATCCTGGTTTCTGATTGGCTATTATAGGACAAGGGGCGTCCAGTAACCATTATCCTGGATTCCGATTGGCCATATGTAGGATGAGGGGTGTCTTGTAACCATTGTCCTGGATTCTGATTGGCCACCATGTGATAAGGGGCATCCAGTAACCATTATCCTGGATTCTGATTGGCCACAATAAGGAGTGTCAAGTCAAGTAACCATTATCCTGGATTCTGATTGGCCACGATGAGGGGTGTCTTGTAACCATTGGGAGTTGTATGAAAACTCCTTATATGGACATACACGTGATTGGATGAACGGAATACCGTTTGTTACAGAGGCCTGTTGTTGTGAAGGGTCAGTGGTTGCCATGTCAACTTTGACAAGGACAAAAGTGTCCTTTCCTGCGGCAAAAATATAAAAGTGCAAAGAAGTCTCTTGTAAAGAGAAATAAACACAACACCAAAATCATAACAGTGGCTTGTAGCTTGCTTTTGTTTATTGGTAAAACTTTCTCCAACAAATATTTAACATAATTTATTGATTGAAGTCACAGTCAGTGTGTGTCAATGCAGCTTTTGCTTGAGAATATGTCTCTAGGGTTGGTAGAATATTCTTGCAGTGAGTAACATTCGTGAAATGTAGTGACAAGGGGAAGGGATAACATCTTCATTTGTAACGGACGGAGATATCCTCATTAAAGATAAACCTAATGCAATAGCTAATACTCTGTGCTTGAACTGTACACATGGTACATGTACAGATGGCGCTTGATATAATACTTGTCACCATTCACGAGGGCTTCAGTGGGGCCGGGGAGACAGAGCACGTGTGCGTACTGGTTCAGGCGCGCATATGGCGTAAATTTGGCACAATTTGTTTATTATTTTGAATGTGCACAAACCCAAAGGGTCGTGAATGAGCATCAGGTAACTCGCACTAACCCTGCTGAATCCAACAGGATCCAACTATATCATATACCCGATGGAGCCTGTTGGATTGAGCAGTAGACCCCTTGTGCACATTCCTGATGCAAAATGTTGGATTCAGGCGGCAACTGAACTGCATTATAACGCCAAGTTGGACTCCGTTGGATTCAGCAGACAACTGAAACTAAGGCACAGTGGATTGAGCAGGAAACTCCGGTTGGACTCTTTTGGATTTAGCAGGGTAGTCATGAGGAACTAGGGGGTTAGGGTTAAAGTGCCCCCCACCTCTGGTGATCCCGCCCAACTTTCTGTAACTGTAACTGTTGAAGTGGTCCGTTTGCACATAATGTATGTTCATGCAAGGGTAAATCCATTAGCACTTGTTACTTTATTAAATGTCTATCTACTTTTTGATAAATGCATTAAAACAATATTCAGTGCTGGAACAGTATAGGCTGGTATGCAACAGGGAAGTAACACCTTCCACGATTTATGACTTCATACAGTGTTTTCCAGTTTTTAATGGCATTGTAAGTGTGAAGTGAAAATTGAGAGAGTGAAAAGCCAAGGAAATATTACATGCTTGTATGTGTAGAGAGTAACAGCCAGAGTGCTTGCTATGGGGCAGTACAGGGCTACTGAACCAGACTGAAAGTTACAAAAATACAAGAAGTACTCTCATAAGTTATACAATTTTGGCTTGTTTTCACTTTTTCATTTTTTCATCAAGTATGATAATTTTAAAAAGTACTACACATTTTGTATCCAGGAAGTTCATTTTGTAATAACACGCATAATATTCAGAACCTTTTCAAAACGAATTTACTGTAAACAACTGTTTGATCACAGGAAGCAATATAATAAACCACACAGTGTAAAAGTCCATTTGCCATTGTGAAGGTATTTATTTATTCCTATATACTTAAAAAAAACCAGCTGTTGTGTATTCAGACACAAATGTACACAATACAAATTCTAAAATTATACAGTAATTTATTTTGTCCAAAACAGCTGCGCAGTACACTTGACGCAGTTGGTACCTTGGATTTGTTTTTATCATGACTTAACAAGGGTGGATCTCAGGTTTTCCCAAAAAGGGAGGGGGGGGGGGAGGAATTCAGCCCTTGAGGGCCAAATACATACCAACTTTTGCAAGTTTATGAATACGAGCACATGCAGTGTCGGAGACCTCTCAAGGGCCCGGATTTCAGATGCTCTGTTTTCCAGATCCAAACCACCCAATACATGTATTGGCTTTCAATAACACGTTTAAAGAATAATTATAATTTTGAGGGCAACATATTAATCAATACCTGCTTTTTATATACAAGGAATTCATATTTTGTGTACATGCCATTAAAAAACAAATTGTGGGTCAAGCATGTATTTCTAACCTTCTAATGCAAGATGAAGTTCTCAACCCTCGTGAACAGAAATGGTTTGATCTGTGGCTAAAAAGGCCAAATCTGAAGGTGTATTTCATACAGGCTAGTTGTAAATAAAACAAATCTTGAGTTTTGGGATTTGAAAAGACCTCCAAGTTTGGGATTTGAAAAGACCTCCAAGTTGGAAAACATTTGTACTAGTTTTATTTGGTAAATGAGTGTTAACAGTAATCTAAATACAGTAAACTCGTCATATCGCTCAAATCAGCCGTCTGACTAAAATCCCGATCGTCTCTATTGCAGTTCCATTGAAATTTTCATTTTTAAGTTGGCCTTTGTAGGTCGCCATTTCGTCTAGGTCGACTTTCGTGTTACTTTCGGTCCCATTTCCTCAAAACCACAAAAATTCCTCCGTATAAGTCGGCATCCCCCCCAAAAAATTGCCACATGCGCGATCGCCACGTGCGCGATCAAAAAGGGGTTGCCCCGATACTGTGAGCACATCAATACCAGTACCCCCTTCTGGTTCTTGTTCTGCACGCATGCCCTCTGTACTCTCTGTACATTTTTGGGGTTCCTTTATTGAATGAACTTTACCAGTACCACCACGCATTAATAAGTAACTGTACACGTACACATGTATGCAAGCGTTCTGCACCACACCGTTAATGCTGGCCTGCTGCCCTTGCTTTGTATGGGCATGACTTTCTGTGATCAATACCCCAGCCTGTATGTGATGATAAACATTGAGGATAAATTTGCTGGAATCAACCTTGGATGTAGAAAAAAATCGAAGCCTGTGATCCCATAATGGGAGATTGTTTGCAGTATTGATTCAGATACAGATGTGCATAGGCCATTCAATCTATTTTTTACTCCATGATTCAATTTAGGCCTATGTAAGTCGGCAAAATGAGGACTTACAGCAGAAGTCGGCATTCGCATAGCCGGAGTTTACTGTACAATACATCGAAACCAGGACCATGAGCTGTTACGCAGAAAACGTTCCTTTGCCAATTTATGTTCTGAGCAGAAATCACAAGCAATATATATAGATCACAAGGCATTTGGGTTGGTTACCTTTTTTTTTGCCAAAAAAATGTTTTCTGCATTTGGCGACTCCATGAATTTTGCCCCAGAACATTACAATCAGTGTTGCTAATCATGTTAAGTCATGTGCAGTGTCACCTCAGCCGTATTGTGTAGGAATCACTCAGCGTAACATAGCGCACCCACCGAAACGGAACGTAGGAATGCTGACGGTCAAACAGTTTCATGTATTTCACTTCCAGGTGGGAGCTGACGTAGTTCTTGATTTCAAACTGAAAGCTTACGGGGCCGAGTTCCCTGACCGTGGCTCGATGGAATTGGGAGAGTTGAATCTGAGGGAGGGGGGGGGGGGGGGGGGGGGGGGGGGGGGGGGGACACAAGATAGAACAAGAATAGGTTCACAAAATGGACGAGCACCATCTTGAGTTTGCCTCAAAGAAGCCACTTTTCAACTTAACAGATGCAACATATTGTCCTGCTGTATTGTTAAAGAGGTTGTGGAATGCTCGAAGACATTTCCGTCATTTTTGGGTATATGTAGCCTAAGGTGTGATGAAATAAAAACGACTATTGTTTCTGTCATGAAATGAGTACAAAAGGTACTTTTGAGAGCTATTTTTCAGGTCCTGTTTCGACCCGAACGTGCAATTTGTGTAAAAGTCGTCGTTGCGGGCAGCAAACAAAACACAGTAAATCGTGACGTAATAAACAGGACTCGTTTATGCTACTCTGCATCGGGAGTCCTGTTTATTACATCACGATTTACTGTGTTTTGTTTGCTGCCCGCAACGACGACTTTTACACAAATGGCACGTTCGGGTCGAAACAGGCATGACAGGACTTGAAAAACAGCTCTCAAAAGTACCTTTTGTACTCATTTTATGACAGAAACAATAGTCATTTTTATTTCATCACACCTTAGGCTACATATACCCAAACAATGACGGAAATGTCTTCGAGCATTCCACAACCTCTTTAATGTGTGGTACCACCCAAATACAAATGCATTCGGAACCCTTGTAAATTAAAATCAATGTGTGCATCAAAACTACAAAACAAAAATATATGAATAACAACGAATCCCCTTCAAAAGTGAATTCCCAGCAAATGATACTTTGCTCTTCTACTCTCGCGTTGCAGGCCCAATTCCATTTTGTGTTGTTTCCTTGTGGCATTTTAATTTTTCAACTTCACTCACTCTGATTCTCGTTTTGAGTTTGGACGCTCCATGAAACTTGTTGATGGTCCATGTGAAGATCTTCTCTTGAGGTTTGTACTTGGCTGATTGGCCAGCCGCCGATGTACTCGCAATCACACTGGATGAAAACATATAACAGGACATATGGGATATTTGAAATTCCAAAAACTACGTTACACGATGTAGTGCCAATACAAACTAAAATCTTCAAACAATTTGGCTACCTCGCAAAAAGTTTGCTACAAAACCCGTGGATCTCACTGATGCTCCATTCAGCAAGCATGGTGTCTGCACTACGGTGAAGGTAATGGGTTCAAATCCCTCTTGAGCAAGCCTGCCAGCTTTTTGTTGACACACTCGTTTAAGCACAAACATACAGAGCTTCTAGTCTTCAAGATATAGTCCATCATTTGTAATTTGTGCATTTTGTTCGTTTGAAGCAACAAAAGTGTTCAAAATCTAATGAAGGATACTGAACAACTGACCTGATGAAGTTTCAGCTAAGCTTCAGCTGTATATTCCGAGAAAAACAGCATTCTAGGATCTCAATTTCAAATCAAAAGTTACTGAATCATGTTTTGAATTTGTTTTGAATTGCAGCTATACGCGAAGTCGCGCACTGATCCGACGAATTATAGCAACCGCGTGCGTCGTGTCAATGCTTGCGCGCACTTCGCCGAATAACAAAACGAACTACTAATTTAAATTTTCCTACGGTGCGTCTTAAGACGCACCGTTGGAAAGGCCTTCTTCCGTTGATTACTTCAAAATGACAGCTTCCCAGAAAGAATAATTTCACAGGGAGTTTAGTTCCCTTACTATCTTCAACCAAGTTTGTTTTTCAACAATAATTACGCCAGTTACTTTTCAGATGGCTGCAAATGATGGACTATAGCTTTAAGAGCAAATTTGTGGGGAACAACATGCGATATGGTAATAACATTCATTTGTTAACTGCGTTTTCTCTTTTCAAAAATCCCAAAAATTCACAATCTACTGTTTACAAAACATTGTTGGCTGGAGTAGCCTATGACTGTCGCACCATATTGGGGGCTTGACAAATGCTCAATTGTTCTCCAAACCAACCTTTTCTGGATTTTAGAAATACCTTTTTTTTGCTTTTACTTACTCTGTGGTTGCCTTGGGAACAGGGAGGTGAACATCAACATCAACAGCGTGATTGGAGGAAGGAAGGTCACACTGAACCTCAAGTTGCACTTCAAGACATCTGGGGCAATAAGCACAAGGAACGACTATAACGTTGTACTGTATGACTTTTTTTCAAATTAAAAAAAAAAATAAAAATACTGTTTTCTTTTTAAAGGGAATATACATCATTTGCTTTTACTGTAATTTTCAGAAATGGATGGAATTGGGGGGTTGGAAATATATAGAAAATATAGTTACACTGACTTTTTTGAGGTTTTGGGTTCGAAAATGCTATAAAAACCAAGAAAAACAATCATTTTCCTGTAGTCTGGTTCCCTGACTCCATATAAGAAGAAACAGAGCAGTTAACATACATTGGGGAATTGTAAGGTCAGGGAACCAGTCTAGCTGGCTCGTACACGTTCATAGGTTTGTAATCGATTGCAAACAAGTGCGATGGTCAATTGGGGCCAGTATTTGAAAAAAAAAAGCCAGTTTTTTCCAACGCTGATCGGCCGATCAGCGTTGGAAATTGATACAAAAATACCACTTTTCTTGAAAATGACAGTATACCAGGTGCCATGATTTTACAGGATGCTTTACACTGTCATTCACTAACAGTCCAGCAAGGTATTTCAAAATGATTTGGTAGTTTTATTTTTTGATGTTTGCAAATGTTGTATTTTCCCTTTAAATTACTGCTTTTTCTAAGCATCAACACATGAAAGTTAATGGAACGATTACTTCAAAACTACATGTAAATGGCTCAGGAATAGCTTTTAACTCGCCATGCGCGCACCACGCAAAGTAAAGTATGTACGTGTGCGCACTAGAGAACCATACGTTGTAAGGTGTAACATGAATATTGCTATTCTCTCGATTCCTCACCAATCAGACTGCACAGTCCAAATCTGGTAGCAATTCCCACATGTGTACCAATTCGGGAACAAGGTATTGACCTTTTTTTCGTTTGAGCATAATTTTAAGCCATGGTTGGCAACAAATTTTGGCGAAAATTGATTATTAACACCCTCATTATTAGAAAGGGGCATTTTTATTAAGGCTATGGTAGTGTTAATGGTTGGTTATTCTGTAATTTCAACAATACAATGATAATGATGTTTGGAACCATGTTGGCTTTCCATAGTTCGCTAAATTCAAGGCAAAGAAAGGTTTATTGAAGTCGGTAATTGGAATCAAAGTACACGTACACGCATAATGGGGTCAAGGATGCACAAACTGTCCCCACATGTACATGTAAGTGGCACGCTACACCTACCATTGGACAGTATGCAGCAACTGTTCATATCACGGCATGGTCCATAGCAGGTGAACAAAACCCGGCCAATCACCAACTTGATTTCAAGCCTTGCGTTAGAGGCAGAAAAGCAACCAGGAACAAAAAAAGACTCCTTTACAGGGTTTAAGATGCCAAAAAAAACCCCAAAAAAAAACCAGAATGGAAAAAGTACAAAATGTAGACTAAAACTACACAGTTAGAAAGATTGTTAGAAAAAAAATTGAAATTGTTGAAGAGCGTGGACAATATTTCGTTTCGGCTTTGTCACAATTAATTGGTTTACTTCTTTTGAGAAAAGAGCTTAATTACACCTACTGTTTTTCTTCAAGCTCTGTTGTAACGGCCGATACTTGAAACGGAAGTCGGCTAGGTAGCTCCCCAGTTATGCTGTACCTCATAATGGTGCACTAGCACATTCATATGGAAATGAAAAACAGGTAACTTACAAACTTTTCCAAAAGTGCTTTCTTACATTCCTACCATCCAGTATCAAAACAAATCTGTGTGGCAAGCTTCGAAATCTGCATTTTGTATCACCTCGACTTCGACTGGATCTCTCAATTATATTTAGACTTTCAAATTAATACCCAAATCAATTTTTTTTGCTTCCCAATTATTTCCACAACATTGCAGTGACTGCTTGATACCTAATGGCATATTGCTTATTTACATATTGTGCAATGTGATTTGAAAGAGCACCATTTATAGACCTTATTCAAGAGGAAGCCATTTCGATTGTGTTCCCTGATTCTATTTTAGAAATTGTAAACTGTTGAACATGTTGAATGGGATGGTGCCAGAGGCTATGATTGAAGTGCGTGCCAAACCTCACTTTCATTTTCTTTTAAATGTGGCTTAAAGCTATAGTCCTTCATTTGCAGCCATCTGAAAAAGTAACTGGCGTATTATTGTTCAAAAACATAGTTGGTTGAAAGATAGTAAGTGGACTAAACTCCCTGTGAAATTAATCTTTCTGGCAAGCTATCATTTTGAAGTAATTTTGAAGAAAGAAGGCCTTTCCAACGGTGCGTCTTAAGACGCACCATAGGAAAATTTAAATTAGTAGTTCGTTTAGTTATTCGGCGCAGCGCGCGCAAGCATTGGCACGACGCACAGGCGCGCGCGGTTGCCATAATTCGTCGGATTAGTGTGCGACATCGCATATAGCTGCAATTCAAAACAATTCAAAACATGATTCAGCAACTTTTGATTGGAAATTGAGATCCTAGAATGCTGTTTTTCTCGGAATATACAGCTGAAGCTGAGCTGAAACTTCATCAGGTTAGTTGTTCAGTATCCTTCATTAGATTTTGAACACTTTTGTTGCTTCAAACGAACAAAATGCACAAATTACAAATGATGGACTACATCTTTAAAACAAGCATGTTTAATCACACATTTTAAAATATTCATCATAGCAGACTGGTATTTATTTGTAATGAACATTTACTTGCTTTCAAGTTCCATAAATGAAGAGTTTACCTCGCTTTCAATCAAAAATGGCCGAGTCGTGAATAAAGTCTATAGGGTTGAAATAGCTCAGCTAGTTAATAACTACACCTGCAGATAAAAAGCTGCTCCTACTAGTAAAGACAGGGACAGTTAGGCCAAAAAAAACTAAATATTCGGTCTCTGGTCAGACCAAAGTTCCGGAATTGACGCGGGGACGTGGCTTTTCTTTTTCTTCAAGCTTGGATTGTACAGACAAGGTGGAGTACTATTTTGCTTTTTTTTGGTGTCCTCATGTACACTGGTGTCCTCCATAATTTGCCTTGGTGCTCTCGATCATTTGACTTGGTGCAATTTCCCATTCCTTGGTGCTCTTTGGTAAAAAAAATTGAGGAGGTGCGGCAATAGAGGGCGCTGTTGGAGCTACCGCGGAACTTTTTGGAAAAAGAAAAGATTGACGCGCATGATTAAAATCAACGCGCGCGCTGACCAGAGACCGACTTACTTTTTTTTTGGGCCTTATATAAGAAAGCTATACCTCTCCTTCAGATGGGTGAATGGTTAGCGCCCTCTTGTGTTCAAAGTCGGCCAGGTCAACGCTGGGATGGAACTGTGCTTGATCTAATCGTACTGCTGTTCCATATCCAATCTCACTCGTCTTGCCAATTACTAGGTCTTCACTCAGACCAAGTTTCAGCTCTAAACAGAATTTTGTTTTAAATGTTTAGATATTTAGTGAAAGTTTTTATTCAGCAACCCAATACAAAATTGGGCCCGTAGCAGATACTCCAAATGACTCTTGTTTTTGGGGAAAGGCAGAATAGCTTTGCCGCAGTTTGCCACATTAAAAATGACTGATCTTTAACCCTAACCTTCCCAAATCCTCCAAAATCCTCTATGCAAAATGGAGGATTTTGCAGGATGGAGGCTATATGGCAAAAGTCTGTGGCTGATTTTGGCGAACGCACTTATTTAGGCCAGACCTTGTGTTGTTCATGCTCAGCCGTGCATAAATTTAGGCACAGATTATACTTTTAATCCTCCGCACTGCTCCAGGATGTCACTGGCTCTGCCTCAACAACATGACAGTGATTGCTGGAGGATTGTGCAGGATTGAGGCAGTAGTCACCCCTCCAAGGACCACATTCAAGGGAGCATTTTGCAGGATTGAGGCTGTATGCTATATTTACATGGAGGCAGCTTGAGGATTTTGCAGGATGGAGGTTACATCCTAGCAAAAACGCCTCAGGAGTAGGGGGGTTAATTAATGATGTAAGTCAGAAATTCTCCATCAGGGTAGTAATGTCAATTGAAAGGTTTGTGTTTCCAAACGGTTTGAAATACTTCACTTAAAAAAAGTTTAACATACCTGGGCTTCCTATGACAAAAGTCTTCATTTGAAGACTTCCATTCACTTCACTTCTGATCAGCGATCCCTGGTGTGAAAAATGCAAAATATGGAAAATATGTACAAATGTAAATATTAACAAAATGCACAGAGTATTATTAGGTTGAGATGAACCGCATCCGTACGGCTAATGCCACAAGATTTGTTAAAAAAATATATGAACATAGAATGATAAAAATTATCAATTATCCAAATTTACTTACATTTGCAGCCATGATGACTGTCATTCTCTCAATAACATCCACATACACCTCATTCCTAGAGCTACCCTGAAAACAAACGGGTAAAATAGTTCACTTATTAAGTGTGTCATGTTATCAGCTAATAGGTTAACTCTATTAAAGGGCCCATGTAATGAATTTTTTTAATGCAATCCTTGAAAATGTACCTTTGTGTCCCATTTAACTTTTATGTTCAATTTTCATTTTAGTCATTTTCAAGGGTATTCTGGTGCCTTTTTGGTTTTATGCTAAATGCCAAAATGATGAGCAAATGTGTGATGTCATTTCAGGCAGAAACCTCAATGTTACAGCTATTTCAGCACCAAAAGTTCCCAGAATTTTGGACATTTTGCTGTTGTAAATTTTCTTTTCTTTGGTGATTCGTTGTTGTGTCAGTACATGGCAGTATTAAGCCAATGACCAAAATTTTCTCACAAATGTTTTCAATGAACACATTTTTGGGTTCACAATTTGAACGGAAACCCCCTAAACTGACTAGTGTCTCCCTGAAATGACATCACAGCAACAGCGCCCTCAGTTGTCCTGAAAAACATGGACATTTTAAAAAAAACGTCTAAAGAAGTGCACTTTTCAATAAACTTAACCGAAAAGGAATGTCAAATAGTTTTCACACATTTAAGAGTAGAAAGTTGCGCAAAATGTATTCCTAAGAAAAATTCATCTCATGGCTCCTTTATATCAAAATCTATGTACAGCTGATTTGCAGAGTAACTATTCACTTTACTCATCTGTTATGTCTTGGATACTGTTAATTTGTTGGTTTAGAACAGTCTTGTTTGTAAATTAACATATAGCATCACATCATCAAATATTGTTTTGAACATCATTTGCATAAACAATGCATATGGTGCGCCCCATGATGACAAGAGCATTTCATGTCCAGCATAACAGCTTAATCATTTCTTGGCACAATATAAACCACTGATGACTGTGGTAATGTGGAACATGTGTTTTAAGTGCCTTCACGGCTGCATGGCACACTCGTCTTTGCCTCACCCGTGACATGCATCCATCAGGTGTTGAAGATGCTATATGTCCCACAGCAGTCAACAATTCTTCAATATCAACTCACCTGTGAAGATGGTGTTACAGGTATGGGCTTCTCGGCTGCATGGCTTGGCGCAAACCGAAATTCTGTCCCAAACTGTTTAAAAAGGGAGTGAGGAGAGAAGTCAAAGCAAAACAGATACTGTACATTTTTCCATCTAATGCCAAAAAAAAAAAAATAAGTCGGTCTCTGGTCAGCGCAAGCGTCGATTTTAATCATGTGCGTCAATCTTTTTTTTCCCAAAATGTTCCGCGGTAGCTCCAACAGCGCCCTCTATTGCCGCACCTCCTCAATTTTTTTTACCAAAGAGCACCAAGGAATGGGAAATTGCACCAAGGCAAATGATCGAGAGCACCAAGGCAAATTATGGAGGACACCAATGTACATGAGGACACCAAATAGCAAAAGAGTACCCCACCAAGCTTGAAAAAAAAAAAAAAAAGCCCAAAAAAAAAGCCAAAAAAAAAAAAGCCGTGTCCCCGCGTCAATTCCGGAACTTTGGTCTGACCAGAGACAGAACATTTTTTTTTTTGGCCTATCCGATGAGATAAAAAATTAGTCAAAGAGTCGAAATTCAGAAAACTGGCATATACTTTGAACATGCAAAAGTCTTACTGAGCTACAGTAGACTACAACAATTTTCTTTTATGTTAAAAGCTTTTTCTTCTCCTTATAATAGTTGTACTTGTACATGTATGTACATTTATACAATTTCACATTTCCCTTTACAGCAAGTCTTGTCGTTGTGCTGAAATTGTGAATTAGAGTGTATACTTTAAAACCATGTTTGATTTTTTTTTCTACCAACAGGCTGTTTCAGACTCTACAAATAGGTTTTTGGGTAATAACAACTCATTTCCAGTTGGATATCGCATACCAGGGCATCAGTCCAAGCCAAATGGCCAATAAAAGAAGTAACTGACCAGGCCGGGACCAAATGTGAGGAACCCCACGTCTGCCAGATGGTCAGCTTTAACCACCTCGGCCTCATTATGGATGTAGGGCTTGAGGGATTTGGTCGATGTCGTCTGAACATAGCCATAATCCTGCCAACGATTGTGAGCAAAATCAAATGGAATTGATAAGCTTGAACAGAGGAACTGACTGGAGCAGAATTTGAACCCGTCACCACCAGAAATTCAAACTCATTTTTCATAGCCCAATGATGGCGGTTGTTTAAAGGGAATATACAACATTTGCAAACATCGAAAAATAAAACTACAAAGTTTTTACGAAATACCTTACTAGGATGTTGGTAAATGACAGCATCCTGTAAAATTAAGGCACCTGGTGTGAAGTCATTTTCAAGAAAATGGTGTTTTTGTATACATTTCCAACAGTGGTCGGCCGACCACCGTTGGAAAAACCTAACTATTTTTCAAATACTGCTCCAACTTTACACTTTTTTCAGTCCAAAGTTTGTTTGCTACTTTGGTTACATGTTCATGAACGGGTGCAGGCCAGCCAGACTGGTTCCCTTACCTTACAATTTTCCAGCATCTATAAATTGATCCATTTTATCTTTAGTGGAGTCAAGGAACCAGACTACTTGAAAATTTTGGTTTTTCTTGGTTTTTCCAGCATTTTCGAACACAAAACTTTAAACATGTCAGTGTAACAATATTTGATCTATTATACTAACCCCTCAAATAGTTCATTTCTGAAAATTACAGCAAAAGCCAATGATGTACATTCCCTTTAAGGGGTGCTAGTAAGAAACCATAAACTGGGTATACGTGCCATATGGCAAGATCTTGCCATCTAGAGATCACCTCTTAAAGTTATGATATTAATGACATTAGCACTGCTGCAAACATCAAAAATAGTATTTGGGATCACTCAGAGAGGTTTAGTTTTTTTTAATGGTTAAAATTCTTGTCCATTATTGTCAATTGTAAGTCAATTCTTTTCTTTCTTCAACATAACATTTTATTCAGTTTCCCATTGTGATTTATTTGATATTGAAATTCCACATTTCACATGCTACATGTATCTGCATTGTCATGATTGTATACAAGTATTTGCTCCCTCAAACAAAATTTCATACATGATTTTAACAAGTCAATCTTCAAGCATTCAAATATTCAGCACAGCCTTTACGTGTAAGTGGTACCAAAGTTAATAAACTAGAGTTTAGTGTCTGGCTCAGGGACAGTTGAATAATTAATGTTGCAGGAAACATCCAAAGCTGGTCAAACATGGAAGATGTGTACATGTACATATGGTTGGCAAACAGTCCAGAAAACTTACTATTATTTCATCTAGCAGCTCATAGACCAGGGCAAAGTTACGTCTGATGCCTTCATCAGTCAATACTCCACAGTAATCCTTCACCAGGCTACTCACCCTGTGATGAATAGAAGCAATGTTCATAGAGGACAGGGCTCATATTTTTCAGATTAAAATGTGTAAACACTAGCACAACAGAAGCATTTTACAAAGCCAGTGCCAATATAAGAAAAACACATGCTGTTTAATTTGAGAAGAGTCCAGTCAAGTAATGTACAATGTACACTGAACATTCTACGCCACCACAGCAGTTAAAATCCATAAAGTGACTGCTATTAACAGTTAAGACTTCCCTCGTTAATAGCCAGGCTTTGACTGGAGGTGATTGATATGCCAGCTGTACCTACATGTACCAGTTACCTCTTTTGTCTGTTGATGGAATTTGACCGAGTCACAGTGTTGACGTCAATGTAACGTGACTGTTTTTACTAGCCCATATGCAAATGCATGGCAGGGGAAGTGGGAGAAATTTGTGACTGTTTGTGCCTAAGCAAATCTCAATCAGAGGGTTTAATGGTAAATGGGGAAAAAGTTAGGGACTTCAAATTCAAAACAGTCGAACACCTTTAAAACAAGGTTCTGGGAACTTGACATATTACCTTGTTAAAACAGGTACCTTGTATTATCAGTAATGGAAAGAAAAGTAAAGAAAAAAATCAGTGAAGAAAAACAATGACTTGGGACCTAAAATTTTCCTTAAGCAGGATGTTTTTTAACAGTGCTCTTCTTATCATTTTTTAACCCTAACTCCCTAAGCATTTTTGCTAGGATGCAACCTCAACCCTGCAAAATCCTCCAACTATAAAAATTGCAGCCTAAATAAAGCCTAAATCCTGCAAAATCCTTCGTCATTTCTTGAATGTCATCTTTGGAGGGGTGACCACGGCCTCAATCCTGCAAAATCTTCCAGCAATCCCTGTCAATATGTTGAAGCAGAGTGACATCTTGGAGCAGTGCGGAGGATTTCAAGTATAATCTAGGCCTAAATTTATGCACGACTGAGCACAAGACCTTAATTGACACAGTGCATCCTGCAAAATCAGCCACACATTTTTGCCATAATTATAATTTATAGCCTCAATCCTGCAAAATCCTCCATTTTGCAAAGACAATTTTGGAGGATTTGGGAAGGTTAGGGTTAATGAGGGACATTGAGGGTATGAAACACTTCCAGACAGCCAGTCTAGACTGGTTGTAGAAAGCATAAATGGACGGACTTGACCCAGTGGGTAATTTTAACCCTTGGGGATGACATCATTGGGTATGGGGTGGTCTTTTACAGAGATGAAACTTGACTTTGGAGAGCACAAATCTGAAAACAGCCCAAATAACTTGGGGGGTCTGGAGCCCTGAACTATTTCACAAATGCTTCTCTTACATGTACATGTAGATGGTGACATTTTCAAAGATTGGTTGCCCAACATACCACAATGTACCTTGAGAGTAACTCAAATGTAGCGAATGGGGACAGGTCGCTCCGGCTTGTGCACACGAAGTACAGACCGTTGCGTTTCACATGCATAAAATATACTCCCTCCAATTCCTATAAGAATCAACAAGTGAAGGAAGGCATAAGTTAGTGCACAATTGACATTTGTCCTCTGGATATTACTGATTGGAGTATGTACATGTTGCGCTAGAATGCCTTGAAACATGTAACATGGTGTTCTATTATAATTATTGAATTGTACAAAAGATGGGCGGATGGAACATCAGACATTGTCAGATGAGCACAACAGTCCAATGGTCTCCAGGCGCAGATGCGCGGAGGGGGGGGGGGGGAAGTATAACAAAAAGTATAACAATAAGTGCATCAGTAACAATGTGCTGCACTGCCTATGTATGTCCGCAACTATCGGACATTAAAATATCTGATGGGCATTAACCCCCCTCCCCCCGCGAAAATTCCTGGATCCGCCCCTGGTCTCATTAGAACTTAGAGTTTTAGTTTTGAAGTTGCTGTTAAAATAGCAATTTTTTGCACCGCTCCATGTATTCTAATAGAGAAAATGAATTTCAAGCACTTCAATCTTTTTATAAAAACGTCAAATACTTGTCAGAAAATTTGGGGATGATTTTTTTTAATGAGAATTTGATTAACAAGAAAGTAATATAAGGAAGCTCTCCAAATAAAGTGTTTATGCACCATGTACCCTATAGCAGAAGTTTTTTATGAAAATTTTTTCATTTGCTTTGGAACGTACAGATGTCTGGCAGCCCCATAGCTTTAGTCTTTGTCCAAAACTGGATTTGGACTTTTTCCCCTCCTCATCAAGTGGGTCCTTGACAAGCACTGGCACATGAAGTCTTGGTAATTTTGGCAGCGCCACCCAGGAAATTCTGCGTGTATCTCATGTGCGTGCACTAGCTTGAATCATACGGCGGCAAGTGAGGTATACATGCTTAGAATTTCCTGGGAAGCGCTGCCAAAGTTTTCAAGATTGGTGTTAATTAGTCTCGTTGATAATTACGACCTCTACTACACTTGTTACGGACCGGCTGAATTGGAAGATAAATCCAAATTCAGTCTAGGACCTCGACTACTGTTATTTTTTTGGGGAAAAAAAGAGGAGTTTTTGGTCAAGTTTACATACCTCAGCCGGGGCTAGCTCTGCCCCTTTACCCTGCTTCAATCTCTCCAGGAATAGCTCAGCTGCATTGGGGAGTCCATCCCCTCGGACTACTCGGAAAGTGAATGCAGTCTCAGGAAGATAATTTTTCCCCCCAAAGAATTTAAACTTTAGTTAATGTGTGTTTCAAACACCTCATCCATTCTAACTTATCCGTTATCAAGCTGACATGGATAAAATTCAGTCTATAACAGTTGCTGTGTGCAAACTCAGATGATTTGATGTAGGTGTTTCTGGGTATTAAACATCTTGCTAACATTACAGGGCAATTTTACCTGCCTTGCTGTGTACGCATCATCAATGGAAAACTTTGGCACTTCCAAGTCACCATGCGGTTATTCCAAATTGCGCCTGTGTCTAGAAACGTGTGTTCTATTGCCCCGTGAACAAGATGGCGATATTACCGTGAAACACTTTATTCTGGGATAACATTAGAACTAGCCTAAATGTTAAAGAAATTAAGTTTCCTGATGTCAGTTTTTTTTACCACACTGTGTGTGCACTTTTCTGGTCCAATTAGCCTCATTTTCTGTTTCAGCCATAATTGAACTAATAATCGTGTAGCTTAGGACCATGTCCCATTATTTATAAGAGAAACAGAAAGACGTTTTAACAGGAACTTATACCAAAATCATGACCAGCACTCAGCAGGAAAAGTAACTGTTTATTTTTTAGTTAGCTTAATTTTGTAGAAAGAGGGCAGTGTTCTTATTTATGAGGAACAGGAATCATGGGGTAAAATGATGTCAGTGCCTGAACTGCCTTGACTCGCACGTCCTGCTAAAACATGTAAGAAAGTCGCCTATTCTTCCAAGTAGGCCAAGGTCCTACGAATCAACATTACAAAAACAAATAATCTCAATAAAAAAAGACTGCTTAGTTGAGGCTGCATTTTGCAAGTCATTTTGGAAAATTTAGCAGTCATTTTCAATAGTCATTATTGAACGGAACCAGTTAAAAGGGGGGGGGGGGGGGGTGTTGTCCTAAACTACACGATTACTCGTACTAGAAAATGGTCCTAGAGTGAGTGTTTCCTACTCTTAGAACTATGAGGCTCCACGTAGTGGAGCCTACGTGGAGCCTCATAGTTCTTCTAGGAGTAAGTGTTTCCTTGTTGTACTTGTCTGTACACTCAGAAGTCGGCAAACATACTTGAGCCTTTCATTGTCTTCTTGGAAAGATTCCCATATATGGCCATCACTAATTTTCCCCTACAGTGACCTATCAGCCATCAAAAAGGGATAATAAATTAATATGTCCTAAAAAGTCAAATTTCGCAGAGGAAATATAGAAGCATTTAGGCCTACTGAGAAAAGATACAAATTGTCAATGACATTGACAATGTGAATGTCAGACCAGTCTGGTTTGTGCACAGAGTGACAAGTGATGTCCAGGGGGAATTTTTCCGTTTATGTTTAAAGAGATTAACACAAGTTTTTAAAGGATACAGTCTTTATAAATTAGCACATCTCCTCGCGATGAAACAATAAAGAATTGGGACAACATGTCCAGTGGCAGGATGACTGTGTATTAATTATACTCATGCTAGTCACAATCACGTTAACTATGTTCGGTTCGACTGTACTGTACGGTTGAACTGTCAAGAGAGGGCGCTGTGTAATGCGTAGATTTGGGGTGCACCGGGACTTTACGGCCAATTTCAAGGAGCTGCTAAGCACAGAAATTTGCTTAGCATGAAAAGTCTTCCTCGGCAAAACATTTAAACAGGATTACCAACAAATTTCCATGTGATGTATATTACTTGTGATTGGTATTCAGCTGTTGCTTGCTTAGCAAAATCACATAGAGTTTGGCGGGTGCTTAATTTACTAAGCCAGACTTTAATTGTTGTGCTAAGCAAATTGTTTGTGCCTAGCAGCTCCAAGTTGGTCCACCATGGTCAGTACACGTACGTAGGCCATATACCCCAATGATAAATGCCGTTTCATGAACATCTGTGTACTTCCTTTCTTGTTATAATATAGCTTCAAGTCTAGCTCCAACATCTAAGAAAATCAAAATGGTCCGGTGGCGCTGTACTGCGCGACTTTGTTTGAGGCTGCCCACCACCATAGCTTGCAGTGGTAACAGAGAAGTTGCAAATTCAATAATTTAAAAAACACCTTCTTATGAAAATAAAATTCTGTGAATATTTATAGTTCAGTTAAATTGCTCTTATGTGTGGTAAATTTAATTCAATTTCGTCACTTAATTCACGCCCAATTTTTTTTTAAACCAGACTCCCTCGTCCAATCAAATTAGCTAGATTGACGAGAAGACGTCACCAACATACTTCTGACCAGTGAGAGACAGGCCAAGCGAGCCACGCGTGCTACGTCACGGATACTTCCTGGAACGCCCTCCCGTCTCATAAAAAATAGGGCATTTAGTTTTCCCGAAACTGATGCTACTCCATCTGGAAAGGAAGACTATTCCATCATATTTGTTTCTTTTTCTGTAATTGACAATTTCCATACGTGATGAAATTGTTGGCATTATGCTTTATAATGTATAAGTGGAGAAATTTAGAATGCGGAGAAATACACACTGAGTACTTCGGCCCAAGGCAGCGCAAAGACCAGTATACGGAGCAACAGCCAGTGATATAAAACATGACACTTTTCACCTCCATATCATTACGCCATGGAAACTTACCGAGAACGGGGCCGGGTCAACGGACACTGTACTGGCGCAGGCAGCTCGCAATGTCTTCCCGCTATTTTTGGTTAGTCACCAAAAAATTGCATCAAATTTCACAAGCACAACTTGATACTTTAACCTCCGAGTCTGCCGTCCAGCTTCAAGCCTCCAAAGCAGAAACTTGTACATCATACCCTGGAGTCTTCATGGGCGCAAAATCATCAATGTTGGACGCTTGGAGTCTTGCAAATCGACCAGAAAACCGGCCTCATGTACGGGGTCACTCCAAAGCTTCGACGCAGACATGTTGCGTCGTCGTCACCCATATTGAAAGACTGACTTGAACTTTGCTGTAGGCCTACAGAACTTGTCATAACTTTTGTTTTATAGAACTGAACTGGACTTCGCAAAGCATTCCTTTGAATGCTCATTTTATGCTTAACTGAACTGAATGGACACATGGAATTTTTGTGAACTCATAATTTTGTCGAATGATCTGAATGACGTTTTTGGAAAATACTGGTCAAGCTTTTGGAGTTCGTCGGGGTAAGTCCAACTTTAACTAAGGAACTATCGAGGCGAGTGAAAATTTATCTTCTCCTCCCGTCACACAGAACCAAAAGAGGAAAAAGCGTCCCAATATTCTGCACTTATATAGCAATATGGTATATGATATATCCGCCTGCATTTTAGACTTCATTTCGAAGAAAGGTGGAGTCAGAAAATATTCATTCCTTTCTTTGACTTTGATCCTTGAATCGCATTTAAGTTAAAAAAAAATGTAATGTTATCTGCAATAAGCATAATGTATTGCATTCTGTACATGACGTTGTATTTTGCATTGTTGAATATTGTGCGATACAGTTCTGCAATTCTCTTTAATTAGCTAAAGAAAATTGGAATATCGACAAGCACGAAATAATCATGTGTGTTTGTTGCCAACGAAATCGCGTCCATTTTAGCCTACATTGAGTTGGTCTTTTTCATTGCTGAATAACCTATTGTACGTTGAAATTCCATTCCTGTAGGCGAAAGCCCTTTTGATTTAGAGTTATTAGCATGTGAATACCTGCCAATTTGTTTGTCAAATTTCATACATGCACATGCCTTTTGCAAATTTGGTGCATTGCGCGTTTCACGCATTGTGTCAAAAGCTAGCTCGTGGTGCGAGTCTGCACGTGAGCCGCTCGTGGCCGGCACAGTGTGGGCGTGGTAATAGATTCCAGTGATTCTTATTGGTTGAAAAGTTGAAAGGCCGTGCGCGCGGTATGCGGCCAGGTGCACCATTTTTGCTACACTTTCAAAGACATTCCAGCAAGGCAGGGGCTTATAGGGATTTACTCAAAAGTTGGAGTAAACGTGTTTAGATTTTCGTTGGAGGGTTCCTTGGAATTTGGATTGCCTTTTTGTTATGATTGTATTAAAATTACAGGTTCAAAACTTATCAGATGCAGAACAAATAGTTTCGAACTTTTATGTAATTATTTAAAGATGAAATGAAAAACCTGAACACCATAAAGGAGTCAACAACGGAGCCAACGGATTTTATCATAAACCTGAATTTATTTAATGTTTGCACACTATTTTGAGTATTATAGGGCGGCATTCCAATGGACCAAAATCAATTATTTTGGACAATGTATCCACGGATCTCCAATTTGTATAGAATTGCTCAAAATAATTAACTTTACACCATTAGCTTCAGGGTAACTTGTATATTTTAAATACTACTATAAGTTCAAGAGGACAGCAGAAGAAAAATATTGAGAGCTGAATTATTATGATTGTATAAATAGAGATGTTATAACAGATAGCCGACGGAATTATTTGAAACTCAAATGAATTGGAGAAGACCTGCTGTTGCGATCGAGACCAGCGAAATTCGACGTTTGGAAGAAGGCAAATAAGACAAAGTTATGATTGTATTAAATGAATGCTTACGGTTCAGGTTAAGGCGTAGGATTAAGGCGGGGTAGGTTGGGGTATAGGCACATGGCGCGCGTAGGCAGCCGAGCACACAAGCAGCAGCGTAAGGGAGCTTGACCTGGCACAGCCATGGTGTAAAAATTAACTTATAAAAATATTTTAACAAAACAATTTAAAAATTACCTTTTCGGGCACAGTAAAAATCGTCGGGCAAATCGTAGCTTGATCCTTAAAAAAAAATTAACGAAAATCTGCATCGAGGTAGTGCATTGTTATGGAAAAATACAATGTTATCAATATTAGAAAATTTCTTTTCAATATCAATTTTGGTTTTTGAAATAAGTAGACGTTACTGAGCTCTAAGCTAACATGGGTTGATGAGCATCCGTCATTTAAAAAAAAAAATAGGAGGACATCGTTGGGGTAGTTTTCGCAATGTTATAATTGTATGTATGATATCGTCTTCCCGAGAAAGTGTTCTTGGTGATATCTTGTAGGTGAGATGCCGTCTTCCCGAGAAAAAAATACTTCCCGGGTTGATGATATCTTGTAAATAAGATATCGTCTTCCCGAGATAATGTCATCACGGGTAGGTGATATCTTGTTTGTAGGGTGAGATGTTGTCTTCTCGAGAAAAAATCTCTGGTCGATGATATCTTGTAGGTGAAATATCCTCTTCCTAAGAAAGAAAACATTTCTCGGGTTGAAGATACCGTGTTGGTCAGATGTCATCTTCTCGAGAACAAAATGTATCTCCGGGGGATGATGTCTTGTAGGTAAGATATCGTTTTTCCGAGATAATATTTCATCACGGATTGGTGATATCTTTTAGGTGAGATGTCGTCTTCTCGAGGAAATAAAATATTTCTCGGGCTGACTATATCTTTTGGGTGAGATGTTATCTTCTCGAGAAAATGAAATATTTCTCGGGTTGATGGTATCTTGTAGGATATCGTCTTTCTGAGAAGATTATTCACTGGTTGACGATATCTTAATTTTCATATTTTCCGATACCAAATTAGTTAATTATTTCATTAAAACGGATGATAGATGTCCACCTTCCGTGATAAAAAAAATTGATTTATCAACTCATAGCTACTGTGGAGCTCTTTAAAATATAATTATTGTAAAAAAAGAATAAGTCTTTTACTGAATCAAAATCATTAAAACAGCTTTTCTAACTGGAAAATAAAATGAAAATGTATGTCCGAAGTTTTGAATCTTAAGTTCAGAAAAACTCGATGAGGTTTCCTGTTTTGAGGGATACCAATGATAAAAATTAAGGCAAAGCTATATTATGTAGCCAAATAAAGTATAAAAATTAAAGTGCATAAAGAGCAGGTGGTAATAAAATAATAATACTTATAAAATAAAATTTAGGAAGCTTTAGCGTGCTGCAAAAAGCGAGCAAATAGCAGCTTGCAAGACAATTAGGAACTTTGGGGATCGGGGAGGGAACGAACGTATTTGATTTATACCAACGTAATCCTGACAATGCCTTTGTGCATTGGCAATAATAACGCCAGTTGAAGTATGAAGAAAATTAAGTTTTAACGTTTTAACGTTTTAACGTTTGGGATTTTATTTGAATAATACAAACTGAATAATCAGCGATGAAGACGGACCCTCGGAGATGTTATCATATCAACAAACATCAGTGTTAATGGGCTTGCCTGCGGCCGCATCACAACCGTATTAAGTTTGCTGATTATTTTTGTGTAAAGCCGAAGGACGTACCTTGAAGAAATAATGGTGTAAAGATGTTCATTATGCATTCATTTTCAAACTTTTGCGAAATAAGTCTGTAAACTCAATGTCCATTGGAATACCGCCCTCTAGATGTTAAAATATATGATTGAAAAGGACGACACCCTTGATGGGTGCTACTATAACACCCTTGATGGGTGCCACTATTGAGAAGGACGACACCCTTGATGGGTGCTACTTTTGAGAAGAACGACACCCTTGATGGGTGCTACACCATGTACTGTATTGATTAACACGACACACTTGATGGGCAACACCCTTGACGGGTGCTACTAGTGAGAAGAACGACACCCTTGATGGGTGCTACACGACACCCTTGATGGGTGGTACTAAGGCAACACCCTTGATGGGTGCTACTATTGAGAGGAACGACACCCTTGATGGGTGCTACTACTGTATTGATTAACACGACACCCTTGATGGGTGCTACTTTTGATTAACACAACACCCTTGATGGGTGATCGAGAAAGACCTCACCCTTGATGGGTGCTTCTATTGAGAAATATAACACCCTTGATGGGTGCTACATTGCCAACAAATTAATTCAGTATAGAATTATTAATGTATAAAGTTGTAAAACTAGTAAGAGATTATGTTTTGTAGAGAAGACAAAGAGAGTTAAAGATACTAATTATATTTTCCAAGGAACCTCTCCGCACGAATAATAGTTCATCAGACACAATCTTACCAAGCACCAGATGGGAAAGGAATAAAAATCCCGCCGCTTGCATGTGCAAATAAATTTGAAATAATTTGTTTCTTAATGCCAACGTTTTTGGGTGTCAGTAATGTACGATTCCGAAAATAATCACGTATTCGAAATGAGCACTAGCGCGCTCTCGGTTCGATTGAAAACGTCTTTCAAAAAAGATAACGTATAAAATTAAAAGGCAAAAATCTTCAAAGGAAAAATAAATCAAGGAGGAGAAATTCTAGGAGCGTAAAAGTGAAATCGAAAAAACCCCTAAATGTCAATCATTTTGTTCGATAAGAGTAGGCGATGGATATCGACCTGCGGGTATATTAAAACAGCAAATGTATCGTTCGTTAACGATTACGAGTGAGTTCGTGTTGAGTTTGAGCGCGAACAAAGTTAGCGTCAATCATTAAATTTTGCCAAACATTTGTTCGATTTGTGAATCGGAAGAAAATAAGACATGGACCTGCGGGTATGGGTTGAAACAACAAATTTATCGTTCGTTCACAATTAGCGAGTTCGTGTTGAGTTCGAGTGCGAACAAAGTTAGCGTCAATCATTAGATCTTGTCAAGCATTTGTCAATCATTTGACCGATTTGTGTATAGAAAGAAAATAAGACATGGACCTGCGGGAGTGAAATGAAACAACAAATATATCGTTCATTCACGATTTACGAGTTCGTGTTGAGTTCAAGTGCGAACAAATTTAGCGTCAATCATTACATTTTGTCCAGCATTTTGTCAATCATTTGATCGATTTGTGTATCGGAAGAAAATAAGACGATGAACCTGCGGGTATTGATTAAAACAAAAAATGTATCGTTCGTTCACGATTTACGAGTTCGTGTTGAGTTCGAGTGCGAACAAAGTTAGCGTCAATCATTAAATCTTGTCAAGCATTTGTCAATCATTTGACCGATTAGTGTATAGGAAGAAAATAAGACGGGGTATATCGACCTGCAAGTATATTAGAACAACAAATGTGTCGTTCGTTGATTACGAGCGTGTTGGATTTCAAGTGCGAACCAAGTTCGTGTTCGAGCTCGAGTGCGAACAAAGTTTAAAGAGTACAAGTAACGTACAAGAACGAAATATGTACACGACTACGAGTGTCTGCAGAATAATTGATAGGGCCATGTGAAATTATGATTGGGCCATGCATGTGTATGATTGGGCCAACTGCTAAACTACGTAGCACCTGCTATCTAGGAAGGATTTTTATGTCGAAATCATGATGGGGCCATGTGTAGTAAATCGTTCTACTTCTCTTCCAATTTGCACCATCTGCACATTTCTGTTGTATCATGTCTACTGCTTTACATTTAAAGACAATGATTGTGAGCTGTAGTAGGGTCAATGTTTGTACGAAATATTTTTTCCGTTTGTAAAAATTCGTGTTAGATATTTAGGGCCATGTGTACGAATCAAACTTTTTGAAATTCTAGTTGCGTCTATCATGCATTTTCTCGTCGTTCCATATTGATTGTCATTGTGAAAAAAATCCTAGGGCCATGTGTACAAAACTGTCATCGCCGTTTGGAAGATATTTCTGCCAAACTCAATTTTTCTTGCGTTATTTCTGTACTTATGTGACAGATCATTTACAGGATTCCAGGGCCATGTGAACATGTCTTACTTTGTTTTTGTATAAAATCTTTCCAATTTATTATGCGAAATTATTTAGGGCCATGTGAAGTAGTGTAGATATCTTCTATTCCTCCGTTCTGTAGAAATTTCTGCAATTTTCTTGAAAGCTGCTTGTGCATTCATCCCGTTTTGAGTGCGAATCATCGTGTAATATACTCTAGGGTCATGTGTTAAGTATCCATAGCTATTTTGAAGCTTAAAAAAAGCTCAAATGTTGGATCTAAGTTTTCTTGTATACTCTGTATATTCCTCACCTGTTGTAACTTGACCGTGGTTAATGGAGTGGGTTTATACTCTATAGGGCCATGTTTAAGAATCTACTTTAATTGTCCATGTAACACAAATTTTCTTGGAGATCTAGCCTATTGTTAAAAAAAACTCTACATGTATAGGGCCATGTGCAGATCTTACAGATTCATTGAAACATGTAGCGGTCGTGAAACGTAATCAGATTGATGGTTTCAACGATTCCACGATTATTTTGTGACATGAAATAGTCGCTGATCCTTGTCGAAACGTGTCTTATGGACATGAAGTATTGTTTGTGATTTGTTCTTCCATAATATCCGATTCGCAAAGATCGATAATTACCTTTTGTGTTGGGGTCATTGTGTCAATTTTGTTTATTGTAAATCAGGTGTAATGACACCTGTAGCGTCGGATACACCTTGTAATCGCTCTGTAAAGTGTATAGCATGAAGTTACAGGATAAAACAATGTGCATTAATTAATTTAACAACCACAACACCAGTGGAGGGTTTGATCGATGATACATTTGAATTCAGTCCGATCCATAGAGTTTTATTAAATTTAATATAGCTCTATGGTCCGATCACAGCTGGTCAGCAATGTCAATGTTGTTTCCCTTTGAACCGCGTTGCGCGTCAGCGGATGCGCGTTGCTTTACGCAAACTGGAATATCATCTTCGCGACCAGCATGCCAAATTATCTATTTAGAATAAACTAAGCTTTCTTTCTCAACGGTTGAATCCATTACAGTGGTCAGGTAAGGGCCACTAATTGGATTATTTTCACTGTCTGTATGTAAGATACTTTGCATCTAATTAGGCTTAGAGATCTAAGTAGCGTAGACCTAAATTAAGTTTCCCCTTTTCTCTCTCTATGGTTGTATCTTTATAGTGGTCAGGTAAGGACTACTAATATATACGTTTCCTTCTCTTTATACCACAGCACCGGTCACAAATTTGATCAGGAATCCACTGTACATTGTAGTTACAAAATGTAGCTCCGCTAGGAAGACTTCTTTTATTTCCAGCAACTTGCAATTAGATTAGGAGGACCGGCAAGCCAGAGTGCTCATATCAGGAGCTGCTGACACGGAGGAACCGGAAGCAGGGAGGAGGAACATCGAATGCAGGATGACCCTGCTTGCCGGGCTATCCATTTACTGATTTCCGAGGTAAAAATATTAATGTTATTTTCCTTTTGAACAATGTCTTAGGATGTTTCAAATTGTTCTGATTATTTTGGCTGCGATTAATGATACCTTATTTTTTTTTTTTTTATTGATAATCACTGAACAACTTCACAAAAGAAGAGCAACAGGCGCATAATTGTCCCGCACACATTTTCTTACATGTGTTCCTTCTAATCTTCTGACAGAGATGACGGTCTGCAAGATGAGATGTCATTCTGGACGAAGATACAATCACTTCTGAATCCCAAGGAACCGGAAGCAGGGAGGAGGACCGACGGAAGGACCGAAGGCCCTGCTTGCAGAGCAAGTCTTTACCAATTCTTGAGGTAATTAGCAAAAGGGATTTAGATGTATTTTTCATCTATTCATTTTCTATTTTTGTCTTAGTCTTCGAGAAGTGGCATATCGAACTTTTTATGACAATCTTGGGTTGTGCTTCGAATGTGAAATATGTAATATAATAGATAAAGGGCATATTTCTTTTATCTTTGCAGATTCCTCTTGGTTTCGTGTAAGCAGCAGAGACGATGACAATATACATAACGGAGTGCAGTTGTTCACCAAGGCAGGAACACGAATTTTAGCAACACTCAACTGAGTTACAATAGCTAGCTCCTGAAAGTTCCCATGCGTTTCTCTTAAAAAGTCGTCACGTTTTATTAATCCCAGGGATGTATAAAGACACCATCCCATTCAAAATCCTTCCGAAAACCTGCTGGATAAATTTAAAAGCTGTATATGTCAACTTATTTAATCAATAGGTTTAAGTCCTACCTAAGTGGTCGTAGTCAGTCTGTGAATATCGAAGGCAACATGTCAAAGGTACTGCCACTAAAAACGTTGGTGTTCCGTAGGCTAGGGGTCGATCTTATGTCCACTTTTATTCATTATTTATTCTATTTGGGCGGGACATTTCGCTGGTTGACGCGCACCGTTCCTTGCGTGTGACGCACGTACACCAGGGAATTTGTAGTATGTACGCGCAGTGGCCGCGCTTCGCGGTAAATGAATTGCAGTCAGGCAAGATGGCGTCGGTCGGTCACCCCCATCTATACTCTCTTTGCCGGTGAGGGGGTACTTGTGAACGGAGCGGATAGGCTTGGAATGGAGAAAGGTTATTTCAGCGACTCCTCGAAATTTGCGCCATGTGTCCGATTGTGACCTCCGGACGTACTGAGTTTTTCAACTGTTTGGACCTTATTTATGAGAAAGCCATTTTGGTCGGGTCCCCTGAATGTATTTTTTTTTAATATTGTGAACTGTTGAATTGGATGGTGCTAGACTATTTATGCATTCTATAGCCTCCCTTTTTTGTGGCTTAAAACATTGGGGTTTGTTTAATCACAAATTGAAAATTATTCATTAGAGCAGACTGCTGTAATGTGTAATTAACTTTATGTGATTGCTTTTATTTCTCTTTGCAAGTTCCAAAAATGAAGATTTTACCTCACTTAAAATTCAATACGGCCGACTCGTGAATACGGCCCATTGCCAAAAAAGAAGGCAGACAAACGCGAGCAAGACAAACAAACCTGGCAGACAGGGAGATAACAAAATCATGTGTACAGCATTCCAATTAATTTGAAACACCTAGAATTGCCATGCCGCTCGTCGTACATTGCCAACAACACAGAGTTTTGAGGATGGTATAAGGTAGAGAATCCTGCTGTTTATTTTAAAAATGGGGCCGTATCGACGGTCCGACGCCTCATAAGTCCGAAATTTCGGAATGATGAGGCGACGGATTTATGAGGCGTCGGACTTATGAGCGGACCTCGACACTCTGACGTCTGAAAATGGTCATGCCCTGATTTCTGAAATTATGAAGTGAAATAAATAATAAAAGAAACCTTCGACATAGTATTTCAATTTATTTAGATAAAAAGACGTTTTTTGAAATGTATCAGCAAAGCCGAAACCCCCAATGTAAAGGGGCGGTAGTCGGAGTCGGAGCTATGAGGCGTTGGACTTACGATACGGCCCCGATCATGAACACGTCGCGCTTCCCGCCTCTCAATGAACACGTTTGTGTACAATTCGGTCAATGTAAAGTTTTAATGATAGCTGCAATCCCCTTCTCTGGATTCAACTGAACATTTGGCATTGTACACTAAACATGAAAGTTGGTACTAGCAAACGTGATTTCAAAAGAATCGGTAATCGCATTTTTAGATTTTTTTAAGATTAGACGGGCAACCTGAATCCACCGCGGTTGATGCACTTTACAAAGTCCCGGGTCCGCTTTGACCCGGACTGATCATAATTCATATTTAACTTGATACTTTTCAGGGTCCATAATGACCTTTTTCCTGGTCAAAATGACACTTCTAGGTATCGTTTTCCGGAAATTTTGGCAAAACTGTCACTTTGAACCAGAAAATTATCATTTTGACCCTAAAAAGTACCAGGTTAAATAGAACCCGTGGCGGTTTCCGAGTCAAATATGTCCCGGGACACTTTTAGAGTGCATGGCATGGATGACTGAACTAGACCAAGAAGAAGCCCGGAGATCTCAGGGTTGAACTTGGTGTGTCTTTCAATAGTGGCTTGTACAGTTGACCTGAGATTACACCCATTATATCATCCGTATCAACAAGCTTGATAATAATTTTGGACACAGATATATAATTTTTCTTTAAGCGAAAACATTATCGGTCACCGAGTTCAAACTATTTACCTTGCAGCCACTGAATCGCATCTATAATTATTACATAAACAGTCCGTCACAAAAGAACTGTTGACTTTGAAAAAAACACACCGTTTATCGGCCAATTATAAATAGACCGTGCACTTTACAGCTTCGTAAAGCTTAAATATTGTGTATCCAGTTATCAATTAACTGAATTGTAAAGAGGAATTCAATGACTTGATTTTTTTCCACGATTGCAAAGATTCCCAGAGATGCTACTTCATACAATATGATTGAAAAAAAATGTATTAGATGCGGTTCAACACAAATAATAATAATATAAACTGTTTTGCAGTGTTGCTTCAAACGAAACCAATGCACAAAATGATTTACTCTACCCACTTAATGATTGAAGATGGTTCAAAGATTGCAAGAGCAAATCCTGCATTCCATCAAACACGGCTGTGCTTATAGATCTGGGGCAGGGGCTGGGGGATGACAACGGGGGGGGGGGGGGGGATTTCCTCTCAAAGGAAAGTATTGACTAAATCAACATAAAATTACATATTTTTTTATTATCTGTCTGTTATCCAATTTTTTTTTTACTCAGGATCGCCATTAAATTCATCATTGACAACGTCTTGGGGTTGAAATAAGGCCGTATAAACTTAATTTTAATATATTTTGTTCCCAAACACGATCAAATTGCCTTGCAAACTTTAAAATGGTGAAGCAAAACATATTTGAGCCAGACTTAACCCATGGGGGGGGGGGGGGGGGAGGGTAATTTATCTATGATAGCCATGCAACCAGTCTATTAAGTCACACGTGCAGCGAGTTAGTGAGTCAACTAAAGCCGGTTCACACGCGGCGCGAAAGCGAACGCAAATTTTGTGACGACAGGGCTAGTTACACATTTCCGGCAAATTTAGCAACGAATGCCCCGTGACGTCACATTTGCATCGCATTCGGGTAGCAGACCAGTAAATAAACTTCCATAGACCCCAATGGTAAATGCTCCCATTTCAAAAATTCGGGAAAAATACTCACAACTCTCCAAGGTGTTCGAGACGCACATCAAATTTAAGCTTATTTCATCATCTTTCATTTTCTTTTCAATTTTCGGGGAGTTAACTGATGACTTTTAGGGGAAATTTCCATCTGAAGATGATCACCCCTGAAAATAGTACTGAAGCCCATCGCCATTTTGAAAAACGATGCCTACACTCCATTGCAAAATAGAGCGCTTTTAGGGTCCAAATTACATCAAAATTACACAGAAATGCAAGCTCCCTGTCCTGTGCACGGCTTCCACCCATATTTTTTACAAACCCTCAAGTTCATGGCCCAAAGCATGCCCAAATACCGAAGATTTTGAGGGCATGCAAATCGTGATTTGGCCGGCGCAGGCAATTTCGGACCGATTTACTGGTCTGCACCCTATACATGAAGTATATGAACCAGCCGTCAGTAGTCGGGTACAAAGAGGACAATAGGCTTGCCCTCAAAGTCAAGCAAAAACTTAAACAAAAGCACAAAGGGTATTTACTTAATCAAACTAAAATTTAATATTTACAAAATAATATCCATCTGGCATCTTTAAAGGAAAGATTGAATAAAGGGTCGCGTTTGAGTTCATCACAATGTCTTAGAGTTTAAATCAGGCCTGAAACTTGATTCGAACAAGATCAAGTTGCACCAAAAACTTTAAAATGGATAAAACAAAACAGATTTGAAAGCAATCATTGTAAACTTTATAGGCCTACTTGATGATTACAGTTAAACTACACTTTTACATTTTTCATGGATCTGACAAAAATTCGCTCTCCATTTTCCTCATGATTTCCTGTGAATATTTATCTTTGGTATTTCAGACTTGCTAAATATGCGTCTCGTCTTAAAAATGGAGAAAATCATCTAAATACTGGTTTCCTTTGGAAACATTTTTGAAGCCATGCATCTTTAGTTCGTTTAATTTTGTTGGAGCCTGATTATGTACTGCATGTATGGGTCATCGGTTACAGGTTTGGCTGTACGTCAGGGTTGGGTTGGGTGAGACCAGTCTGGGCCGGGCTGGGCTAGGCTAGCCTGGGCTGGGTTGGGTTGGGTCGGGTATAGGGCAGGGCTGGGATGGGCTGGGTTGGGTTGTGCTGGGCTGGGATGGGTTGGGTTGGATTGGGGTGGGCTGGGTTGGGCTGGGTTAGGTTGGGACCGGCAGGACCGGACAGGACTTGGCCTTCAATTGAGACCTAGTCATCTTTGGTGCAGATAGAAACTGTCACAGCGTCCTGCACTTGGAAAAAAGGCTCCGTGAAATAATGTCTCTCCGTCTTATATTTCTCACTAGTCTCAACATGCTTCAGAAAGTCTGGGGCCCCAGGAATTAAAACATTATCGGCCATGACAACTGATCCTTTTCGTAGGAAGCGGCTGGCTTCGAGCCTCTTTAGGTCGGGGTAGTACAGATCTTTATAATGGTCGAGGAAGACAAAATCGAGCTTGTCCACCGAGTGGTCACTGCGAAGGACTTGAATGAGGTCTGCTGCCTTGACGTTGCACAGAGTAATCACCTGAACATGTTGGATGCACAATTCATGTACTCAGACGACGAATACTAGTTCATAATAATTCGGAATCCGAGTCCGCATTTGCTCAGTCCTTATCCGGGTCCAAAATGACACCTTTAGGAATCAAAAATGACATTTTTTTTCTAGGTCATTTTAACCCAGAAAAGTGTCATTTTAGACCTAGGAAATGACTAAGCAAATTGGGATTCAGATTCAGAGTTTTTAGAGTGAGCAACTACTCCATTTTTTTTTTACATCTTTCCCTACGCACAGACGGTTTCATTTTTTAAAACGGCCTCTCCTTGCCAAAATTAAGCCCGTTTTAAAGTTTGTGATGTCACAAAGGTTAGGGAAGAATGCATAGTTATACAGGGTGGTAAAAAACAACCCTTTTTTTCAGAGGCAGATTTCTCAAAATTGAAGAGACATAATGACATTGTTTTAACATATTCCTTAACTACAAGATCTTGGTCGTATATGGAGAAAGCAGCGTTGAAAATAAAGCTCAAGTTAAGAAATAGCGGCCTTTTACAGAAGAATGGTCAAAACTAAATTCAGTTTGTCCACGTCTATGGCAGTCGACGTAGACCTAAATGAAAAATTAATGCAGTTATTTGTGTGCGCATGTTGTGTTGACCATATCTCATGGATTTGCATGAGGACAAACTGGTTTTGACCCTCTTCCTTTGTTTAAAACCATCACAATTACTCAATTATTTTAGG